TTTTGGGAGGGAGCGGGGGGTGGTTTTGGGGGTGCGGGGAAGCCCTCGGAGTGTGTCCCCCCTCCCCCCCCCGGCCCATAAGCTGCCGGCACGTGGGGCCCCGGGCCGGCCCCCGGAGCAGGGAACGCGGGGCAGGGGCGAGGGGCTGCCCTGGCTACACCTTCTCTCCCCGGCACATGTCGGGGCCGGCGGCTGCCGGAGCCCTGCCGGGGCCGGGCTGGGGTCCCTCGGCCACCCTGCTGTCCCAGGACCTGTTAGCGGGACAGGAGCCACAGCCCACTGGCACCTCAGCCAGGGGAGGGGATCGCCTCAGCAGCCCGTACACGGCAAGGGCTGTGTCTGGCCACCTCTCATATCCCAGTGGCCAAACTGTCCCTGTGGCCTGGGGTCCCGCTAGGCTGGGGGGGTCTGTGTGAGGTGCTGCTACCCCCCCAGGACTGAAAATGAAAGGATCATTTTTTTCAGGGAAAAGAACGTCTGGTAGTTGTGAAGTGAGTGCACTGGAAGACCCACCAACGCGCTTCACCCCGCACAGGTGAAATAGCTCTGGTTTCTAATGCGGGAGGTGGCACGTTTTGGTCAGATATTCCTTAATGTGTCTTTTAGGTCAAAATTATAGTGGCTTTGTACAAATAATCTCAAATGAAGTTTGGAAGTGACAGTGATGCTCACCTTAAAGCCTTATACTATCTGAAGTACATGCAGTTAGTTCTAACTTTGTTACTCATCAACATGCAATGCTGGTTTATTTTAAGGCCTTTCAGTTTTTGAGGATTGGGAGGCTTAAAAATAAAATTGACAAAATTAGGGCAATGCACTGTTCCCCTGTAGACAGGTGCTCTCCCCTATGGGCTTGCCTGTACTGGCAGTACTTCATGCTCAGGCCATACCCACCAGGTACCACTGCTGATGGCTCAACTGGAGCACTCATGCTTTGTATGAAGCTGTCACAACCTGGTGACATTCAGTCTTTTGCATGAATTGTTTATAATATATATAAAGATCACAAGTTTTATTAATTGTAAAGCTAAATTATTTACAGAAAGCAACACAATTTATGTACTGGGAATTATTTTGATGTTCAGTATTTTTGTGATGAGTGAATGAATTTGTGTGTAGGGCCTGGTCCTACAGAACTGTGTATACTGTGTTCTCATGGTATGCTGAATAATTGGGAGGTTGTAATTTGTTGTAAGACCACACTGAAACTCCAATAGCTTATTCCTGCTGAAAGGCTTCACTGTGAGAAGTTCTATTGGTTTGTTTGTTGAGTATTCCTGCTGAAGCGAGAATGATATTGTATTGTGAGAAATAAGCTTATTTGTCTTTGTAGTATTGGGACTAAAATAAGACAAAGGTATTTTGTTTAACCTTATATGGAAGGGCAGGTTTTCTGTTCTTTGAATAAGTATAAGACTTATTTCTTGTTTTCTCCCAAGTGCAGGTACAAGGTATGTTGTTGTATGTTTAATCTCTACTTTATCTCAGGATCTTGCTTTTGGTATTTTGAGATAATGTTTTTAAAGTACATTTCTGCCATGTTGCAATGTCCTAAAGGGTCCATTTGTTGTTGTATCTGAAGGCCACCTCCTTGCAGCCCTGCTCATCCTGGCAAAACCCAAGCCTGTTTATAACTGCACTGAAATAAGTGTGCGTTACAAACCCCCCTGTGAGGATGTGATAGCAGGACTGGGGCCTGAGACCTTCTGCTCAAATAGGGAAATCCTTGTTCAAAAGACTTTCTAGGTACAGAGCCCATCTTGAACCTTAGGTCAAGAATAGCCATGTTTAGGAAATTACTTTTTTGAAATTCGTATGAATGTACTCTTGGCAGTAGTTACAAATTTTCCTGTGTGAGTTCTTTTTTTTTTTTTCTTTAGAAATTCTCTGAAGTTTCTAAAATTCTCAGTCTTAACTGTTTGTTGTTTTTTAGGGTTTGGGCTATCTTTGTCAGGTTTTCTCTAAGGTACTATGAATGAATCAGCTGAAATGAAAATTCCTGCTTAAGTTCATTTGGCGTAGGAAAACAAAAAGAACCTGTTCAGTTTGTGAGCAAAGACTTCTTTTTTTCCTCCTCATAGTTACGTTTCCTGCTCTTGATTGTAAATAGTTATAAGTCTGTAAGTTCTCTAGCTGTTGCTATTATTATGAATAATGCTGAAGTTTAATTCTGTATTTATTGTGTTATATTCTAAAACATCATCAGTGTTGCCTAAAACATTCTGCTGCTTTTCTGTTAATATATTGGACATCCTTATGCAATGTAAACTGCCTTTTGCCAGAGCTGAAGTAATAAGCTTTCTAAAAAGGCAGAATGAGGGCAATATTGCTTCTTTCTTCCTAGGTAGATCTTAACATATGACAAAAAGTAGTCCAAAATACGATTCTAGGTGGTAACTAAAAATACCTTGTAAGATCTTAATATGTTGAATGCCTTGATCTGTCAGGATACTTGCATGTGTGTTGCAGTACCTGCCCTTCAGAGGCCTTCCTGAGTAAGGACTGTACTCTAGTTAATAAAAGTGTTCTGCACAGGAACTCTTGTAGTTGACTTTGGTTGCTTCCCAGTGTCTGAATCCGAATGCTTTTACTGACAAAAAGACTCTTCTTTGCACAATTACAGTATTCTTGGTTTGGTAGCTGAGTGTAGTAGAGAATTGAGCTGTTAAAAGACTAGAACTAAGCCAAACTTATGGTTAGATCACAGCATAGGGACAGAAGTTACAACTTTGTGGTGTTGATGTTGGTCACAATTCGATGTGGTACAGCTTTTCTTGATAGAACAAAACATTTCAAAGAGCGGTGTTAGTTGCTATGAAATAGAAAAAAAAATAATGTTTTAGATTCATACTTAGAAGTATACTTTTTACTAATACTGACTGAAAAGTTTTGCTATAAAATAGCTCTAAGTGGGTGTCTTTTTGTCATGAATGTTATGGCTTCTGTTCATCTTGGAGTGGATGAAATTCCATGTTTCCAAACATCTTGCACTCCCTGTGTTTGGTCAGTTTCAAGAAGTGTGTCTGACAGTGCCAGGTACTTGTTTCTTGGTCAAGAGGAAATGACAAAACTACTATTGAGTTGTTTGTGCTTGTGGGGAAGCTGAGATTCTTGTAGATCCATGTTCAACTTCTGGCCCCAAGCTGATGGTTTTGGGACCATACAGAGATGATTGTACCTTGTCTGTGAGATGTCATGAACACACCAAGCAATTTAACATGAAATTTAGGCTAGTATTAGCAAATACAAACAACACAGTAAAGACCTCTGTAGTTGTGGATTTTGTTTGGATGCAGTGTGTGAAGCTCTGAGCTCAGTCCTCTTAATTATACATCTTTTAACCACCAGCATATAATTGCCTTGCAATTTACAATGCATTTGGGGATTCCATTGCCTAAAAGGGTCTTACGTACATTGAATGTCAAATTCTGAGCATATGTTTAAGAATGCATCAACCCACATGATTTAAAATACTCATGTATTTTATGAAAATATGTTCAGCACAGCATTTGTGCAAAAGTACCGATCTGAGTTTTGAGGCTCTAGTGCTTTGGGCTTTCTATTAGTGAGTAAACCATTAACTTCCCTGGAGACTGCTCACAATGTCAGCTACCAGATTTCTGTATGGCACAATGCTGGTACTTGGCTATGGTTATAGTAAAGATGGTCCTCTGAAGTTTGCTGCTACACTGTTTTCCAGCCTCTCTGAAGCACTGTTTAACTGTTTTGGAGGAGGGTATGTGGAGTGTAGAGCTACAGCTGTGTTGTCTTTGGAGCTGATGTACACTGGAAGGGAGCTGATTATGCCTGTACTGAAAAGCCAGTACTAAAAGCAGCTGGGAGCTGGCTTCTTCCAGAAGGTGGTAGTAGGTATTGGCAGTTGGACAGGTGTGTACCTGTGTGTATTGAAATCTTTTTTTCTGAAAAAAATTTCTCTGTTTGCAGTCATTGTGCAAACCACCTTCAGTTGACTTATAGACTACCAGTGACTGCACTCAGCAGGACAAATAGCTCGGCTCTTAAGTGCTGATGTCTTAGAGTGTGACTTTGCTCTGTGTCCTGCCTGTCCTTGTTATAATGCCTTGCTGGGGTGCTAAGTTTGTTACTCTTCTTCACATGTCCAGATAGGACTTTAGCCAGGGGGAGGAGATTTTATTCCCTTCCCGTCAGCTGCTCAAGAATAAAAAATGGGACAAGGGGAGAAGTGAATGTGTTATAAAGTTGCAAATATTAGTGATAACCTCATAAAAAAATACCCTGCTGGATCAGATTTGCTTGGATCTAGCCTAATGTTCTGTCTCAAGCAGTAGGAATAACTGATGCTACTTAGGAAGAGGATGAAAGCTCGGACGCTTTTTTTGTGCTTTCTTCTCTTTCTCCTCCATCGCCCGTATTTGTTAAATTGGTCATGCTAGCGGGTGCATCACTTATGTTCCTGTTGTCTATGAACTTCTCTGTTGCGTTTTTGAACCTGATGGTACTGTCTGCTTCCATAGTCTCATGTAACAGCAAGCTCCAGCAGCTCACTACCTTTAAGTAGTAAAAATGAAGAAATACTTCTTTGATATGTTTTGAATCAATCTCTTACTAACTTCATCAGATACCCCTAGCTGCGATATTTTGTGATCTGGTATGACTGCTCTGTATTTACCTTTTTCCCTACCATGATTTTTTAAACCTCACTCATGTATTGAGTCATTTGTCCAGGGCACACATTTTTGGATTCCTTTCTGTTCTTAGCCCTGTTGTTTCTGACTAGCTCAAAATCTTTTATTTAGAATCAGTTGTTTAAGGAAAATCTAGGTTCCTCAGGAAGCAGCTTCTGGTTTCTTATTTACAGGTTGTGGCTAAAGTTAGTTTGAGCACGTGCAGGCATAATTTTTTTTTCTTCTGTTGAACCTTCCTACGTCTTCAATGTGGCGTATAAATGCAAAACTGAAAACAGCTTCCAGAAAGTTTTGTATTCCGATATTTTTATAGTGAAGTACAGCTGCTTAAGCATTTGCTTTTTCCGGGGGAAGTCCATGTTTCCGTCATCTCTTACTGAATCCTGTGGGACAAAAATAATTTCTTCCCCACCCACTATTTAGCTAAGTGTAGTTTCAGTTCTCTTCAGTTAAGTGACATGTGCCTATTCCATGCTTGTGCTACTTTTTATGTAGCAGCAAAAAGCTCTGTTAAGAACTCCTGTAAATTGTTAAAAATAAAACACTGCATCAGATGAAATCAGAATGAAGAGTTTTAAGTGGCTTTGTTATTTTTATATATATATTTATACACACACACACTCTTGTATGGTAAGCCACAGAAGTTAAAAAAAAAAGAAAAAGCTCTTTTTAGATTAAGTTCAACTTCAGTCTCTGATCCTGGCAGTGTATCCACATAGTGACATGTCTTTTGGGAAGTCTTTTCCAGAATTTACCAATAAAGTTATAATTGCAATTTGGAGAAAATTCCTGTGTTGTTTTCACTTTTTAATGTAACATTGGTTGGCTACTATGTTTATTTGCTTTCTTGTTCCTTGCACTATGGTTGCACTAATTGATTGCTGTCAGGATTTTTAACATGGTTATATTCGCATGAGCTTCTCTTAGTGTATATATAGACCCAAGACCTCACCTTCATGTTTGCTGGTTTTCCTGGAGATTATTGTCAGTATTTTTGTGTGAATGTTTCATATGGCATTGTCTTTGTGCCCTGTATCTCTTGGACAAGTGATAAGTGAAATACTATGCCTGCCTTGACACAGTCAAGTTAAATGCAAAATAAGACTTAATTGTGAGTTGAATCCCAAAATAAGACCGTGGCCACAAGAATAAATCTAGGATTATAGTGGCTGGGAACTGTGGAGCAGTTTCTTTACAAAAGCTTAGTGGAGGTACACAAGGTATGCATTTCTCACTGTTTACTTTGGAACCATCCTGAGGAACTCTTTCTTTGGTCTGTTGCTTGCTAACCTTCAGAAAAGAAATACAGCTGGGTTGTACAAAAGAGGAGAAAGTTAGTGATCCATCAGAAACTCTGCAAAGCATGATAGTAGTAGTTCAAAAGAAGGTGATAGACCAGAAGAAAATAGAGGGCAACATGTGGGTCACCCCAGCTGCAAGATACACTTGGTCTTTGAAGTTTTATGTCCAGTCCAGTATGCCACCTAATACAAACTTTAATAAAGCAGGTGAAGCAGACTCTCTAGCAAAAGGCTTTCTGTCAGCATTGTGTGTGAGATGCAAGTAGTTAAGACTCATTTGATTACTTTTGCTGGCATAGTAATAGAAGGGTCCATCTCTCAAGCATACGGGATACAAACACAGACCACAACTCCTGTATGGGTCATGTTCCCATGGGATTTATGTTTTTCCTTCATGTTGTTGCTGAATAATACTGAAGGATACTGAAGGGTATGTCAGTATCCTGAGCCAAGGTGACTGAAAGGAATATTTGGTCCTCAACATGCTAAAGAAGAGATTGTTCCTTCTTCCCATTCTATCTTTTTGAAGGGCACAGTCAACAATGAACTTTCTTGTTCTTAAGACTGATGTGTTGTAGAAAGTCATACTCCAGTGACTTGTTGGTTTCAAGTATATATATATATATATATACAAATATGTGCTTCTATGCCTTGAGAAAAGCTGGGAAAGGTGATTTGAACCAGACTAGGTGTCTGTGCTTACGTTGTGGCTCTGTAGTGTAAGCAAAGCGTGAGGCCCCTGCCTCTGGGGGTGGCATTGAAGGGGAAAATGTGTATCAAGAGAAAATACAAAGTTACCATTATTGTCAAATGATTGTTCAGTCGCTTGCAGTAGTTACATTCTGTAGCACTTGTCTCCTTTGCAATGCTCTGTACACTGTACATGTGCATGTATGGCTGTTCCAAGAATTTTAAAATCTTTTAGTACTCTTCTGTCTTTCTTCTTCTACAGCTAAATATATGCTAATGAAGGCCAGATTTATGCTGTGTACTATATGGGATAGGGTGTTTTGTTTTCCCCATGTGACTTAATATTGTTTTTCTAGATCCCCCAGTGCCATAGTGCTTTGTCATTTCCTCATGGTACTTTTTTACAGCAGAAAGTGGAGGCTCGTACCTTTACAAGAGGAAAGTACATCTTTCCTGCAAAGTCTGTATAGGCTTCTTCCTTGAAATTCTGCTCTTGCCATTTTGGGTCTCAGGAACAAGTAATTTCATTGAGGTGGTAATCTGTACATTTGTCACATGCCTCTAATTTATTACCTATTTCCTGAATATCACCTCTATGAACATTCCTTTCCTTGGTGTATAAAACGTATGAAACTGAACTGCGTACTGAATGAATACAGTGTTCAAAATAGTTCATTCCAATGCTTCAGGGTGACCTTTCTGAATAAAAGCTACCTTTTGCAGGTTAAGCTTAGTGTATCACAGTAGCTGCAGAATGTGTGTACTGTTAATTTTTTTGAAACTACTTTGGGATGGTTTGGGGGGTTTTGTTTGTTTTTTTTAAAGGATGATTGCCAAAGACTTCCATAATGTTGGGAACTGAAAAAATGCCTTATGGCTGCATGGATTTGCACTGTAGGAATCTACTTTAGGGGCAAAACCACCCATCCTCTGGCTGAATTGACATTTCAGCCCTTTTGGCATTGATGGGAGTACTCACCGATACTAATGCCTGAATTTCCCTAAAATAAGTACACTGAGGTAGGATAAACTTTGAAGAACCATGATGACCTCAGGAAGGACTGCATATGGATGCTTGCAGAAACCGTAAGCAGCTACAAGATCTGAAGGGCTGGTAATCAGGTGTGGTAAAGAAAGCTTTTCTTAAAGAAAAAGCTTTGTTGCACTGACTGGCAAAATAATTTTGCAGAGCAAAGAGTCTGTGGTGGTTTTGTAAGCAAAGATACCTTGAAGTAAACCCTCTGCAATCAAATGGGTTAATCATCTTTCAGCTTGATTTATGAAAGCAAGTGATCTAATCTGACACTTAACCTTTTTCAACTTGTAGCTTCTAATCACTTTCTGGTAGATGAGTGAAGTTCTGTTATTTAAGTGTGGTGGCAGTAGAATTTTCTTTCCCCCAGTAATTTTTTTCATGTTTTCCAGAGAGCTATGACTACTGATTGAAAACTATTGTGCTGTTGTTTTATTGGATGCTAGCTGAATCACAGGCTTTTGGTGACTACATGTGCCTGTTTACTTACTGTAGTAATATTTGTTTTATTCTGACTGACATTGACCCTTTTGATATTTTCCTTAGACAATCTGCTTCATCTTGGTTCATCATCATTCCAGGATAGCGGTATCCTTGGGGCTCTCTCTTGACATTGACATGGTACAGAAAATTTAAAATCAGGTATTGTTTTGGGTCCTTCTTTCTGGCCAAAATGAAACACACAACCTAGAACTGAATGCAGTTTTTCTTTCCTTATGTGATTTGTCTCAATATTTTGGTTCTTTCAGCTGATGTTCACAAGGAATAGAGTCACGTGATGTATGAAGGCAAACACATACACTTCTCTGAGGTTGACAATAAGCCCTTGTGCTCATATAGCCCCAAACTGTGCAAGCAGAGGCGACTTAACGGCTACGCCTTCTGTATCAGACACGTTCTGGAGGACAAGACTGCCCCCTTCAAGCAATGTGAATATGTGGCCAAGTACAACAGCCAACGCTGCACCAACCCCATCCCCAAGTCTGAGGACCGTAGGTGAGTTGTGGTTTCCACTCTGAAAAGTGGGAAGTGGCTGGGACATTTTATTTAAGTTGCTGCCTGGTTTCAGTATGAGGGAGGAGCTGACCTGAGTGAATTGTATTCCAGGATGTTCCTCTGAGGATTTTATTTTAAGACCAGTAAACTTTATTTTATTTTCTGTGGGAGTCAAGTACTCAGCAAGAGGGCAGTAACTTAATCCTAAGGAAGTTTATGGGAGAGTTCACTGCTTTTCTCAAATTCTCTACAAACTGCGGATCAAACCTGCTACAGAGTGTCAGCAGTTTTAACTCATTTGCTTTGTCACTCACAGTACATGCTCTTAGAAAGGCCTGATTGTTTAGCCAGCAGTGCCAAAAGCACACTTCCATCTGCCTTTTCAGGACAAACAGTTGAAAATGCTTATCTTTTGGGGAGATCTTTATTCACAGGGAGCAGTGACACATAGGGACAAATCCAGAATTACAATTTGGTGTTGTTGATGTGGTACTGATCTATAGTTTTGTTTTACTGGAATAAAATAAATATTACTTGAGAACAGATGAGCCAGCTGAGAAAGTGCCACATACTGCCTTTCTTCTTTGCTCCCCTTATTTCTCTCCCCATCCCTGTCCAAATGAAGATGCCCAGAGTGCCCAGGTATTAAATTCCTTGCAAAATATAGTCCTTGAAATTGTTGAGGGCTGGGAATTAAAAGCAGATTTCCTGAATTGCAGCCCATACTGTAACCACAAGGGCATTCTTCCTTGCACTTTAAGATTTCCTGAACACCAGTCTCACTAGTGCTTCTTGGGCTGAAATAGCAGAATTTGTCTAATCTTGTCTGCCATCTATATATGACTTTATTTTTCAGAGCTGTCATTGCAGGTTTTGCCAGTAACACAGTGTTTAACTAATGTATGTGTTAACTATCTGAGGTTTGTTCTATTTGAAATGCTTTTTTAAACCTAAAATATGAACAAAATATGCCAAAAAAATCAAGCCACTGTTCACTGACCTTTCACATTATTAGCTGCCATTCACTAACCTTTTGCATTATTAGCAGTGTTCCCACTGTGCCCTACATATAACTTCCTTCTCAGCTCACAGCTCCCTCTCTTGTCTGAAACAACAGTTGGACTGTGCTCTAAATTAACTTGCACTTCACCTGCCATTTCAGCTGAGGAGACTGATGAAGTGAGAAAAAACATGAATGTTTGTCAAAAGCTGTAGGGCAAATGCTCAAATGGCACAAGATGAATAACTTTAAGCTGTAATTTGACAGTCAGTGAGTGTTTCCTTGCTACTGTACAATTGAGGCTCTTTGGAAATAAGCTCACAGAAATGATCATAGAAATTGTTAGCACAAATGGTATGCTGAAATTTCAGATGCAAGAGCTGACTGAGAGTTCCTGTTTACCAGGGGTCATACTGAAAAACAATAGAAGTAATAGTACTTAATGACACTTTTTTACGTCTCATATGTTCCCATGGAATTTGTGATTTTTCTTTACACCTTGAATTGAGTTCACACTTTGTTCTTTTTGATTTTTCTCAAGTTAAAGTGAAGTGTGGTCATGACATCTGGTGTATGTTATATTAAAATAATTCAATTGCATGTCGAGTGTCACATTACAGTACTTCAACAGGACAGCAGGTGTCTGAAAGAGAAAATAAACTTTTAATTTCAAATGAGAGGATGTGATAGTTTGAAAGAATATTTTAAAAGACTGTTTCTCGGGGCGGAGTTTAATTTTAACAATAACATTTAATGAATGCTAGTGATAAGACCGTGGCTGTTCTAAACTTTTTTTTTGGCAGGCAAACCTGTATCTGTTTCTTAGAAGACTTTTTTCACACTCTGTTGAATATAACGATATTTGCAGTGTCTGAGTTCTCCACTCATAGCTTCTCGTTTTCTGTGTACAGAATTACTGTCAGATGGTCATTTTGTCACAATTTTAGACACGTAACTGTACATGATCAGAAGCAGGCTGTATGATGCTCTGACAGCTATCTTCTTTTATACTTTTAGAGAGCGTTAAAAAAAGTATTTCAAGAAGACTCATGCATTATATGCCAAAAGCTTCATAGTCTGTCCACAGATAATTAAGAATTATCACTTGACCCCAGACAAATGAGATGCTACTAGCCACAAAGATGGTTAATATGATGCCAAATTATTAGATTCCTTATTAATCATTAACATTCTACAAATTAAATCTGTTAAGTGTGTGACTTCATTGCCTTACTTGAAGTCTGATTTTTCTATTCATTATCTTGTTTTTTTAAAGAATATATGTATGTGGAATGATACACACATGGGTTTCATATCTCTGTTTTCTCTGAATACATCTCCTACTTCTTTCTTAACCAGATACACACAAAGATAATGAAGTGCAACTTGATTTCTAAATATAGGTGTCTTGGGTGGCAATGCAAGAGGTAACCAGATGTATACTATTACCATCTGTTCAAACCAGGTGGGGCAGTGTTCTTTATCTCTTTCACAACCCATCCTCCCTCCAGGGGGATAGCTTCTGTTAGTGGGCCATTGAGTCTCACTGCAGGACTGATAAAATTACATCATCCCATTGGGAGATGCTCCACCCAGGGGGACAAGCCAAGCATTCCTACCTGGATATAATCTGAGCTTTGGAACACTAGTCCGCCTTTCTCCACTGGATTCCCAGAGGACCAGACCCAACTACACCACCACTGGACCTTCAGAGGAAAACTACACCCTTTTACAGGATCACTGTTACAACAGAACCACACCTGTCACTCCAGGAGGACTGCAGCCAGCCATCATTTAATCAGACTGCTACCAACATCCTGACCAACAGGGTGTCAGGTTGTATTGTGACTCTGTCAATGTTTTTTTCTGTATTACTGCATTTTTATTTTAACTTTCCTAGTAAAGAACTGTTATTCCTATTCCCATATCTTTGTCTTAGAGCCCCTTGATTTCAAGATTATAATAATTTGGAGGTGGGAGGGGTTTACAATTTCCATTTTAAGGGAGGTTCCTGCCTTCCTTAAAGGTTCCACCTGTCTTTTCAAACCAAGACAATAGGATTACTACAATTTAGTTGGGTTAAACACTATTTTGTCTCTTAATTCTCTTCACTTAAGAGAATCTTTAAATAATTTGTTAATATACAAGCTGCTCCCTAGTTCATTTGGATCTTCTTTTAAGTGATGGAAATTAATACCATACTGGAGTGCACTAAGAAGCAGAATGTATTTGTAGGTGAAACACCTCACTGTCTGAATTTCTGCCTTCCCAGTGGATGCAGGAAACTGTCCAGCTGAAGTCTTCAGCGCCCATCACATTTTGTGTGCTTAGTGTTATAATTTCAATGGCTATCAACCTACCATATTTGTGGACTTCATTTAACCTTACCTGCACAGAATAAGTGCCTTTGGCACTGAATGAGGAAGGGGAAAAAACCTGTATTACATACCTACTGTGATACTGTCAGCTGAGTGTAACTCACACTCAGGTTATAGAAGTGACAAACTGAGCCTCTAAGGCTTTCACAACTGGCTCTTGTAGGGCCAGCTTGACCCTAATGGGTTTCATGCTCAGAGCTATGTGAAAAGCACTGTGCTACTTGCAGGTTCAATTCCTGTCTTCCCAGTTATCTGACTTCCATGGAGCTTGAACTACTAGTCCAGATTCTGCAGCACTGTGTGAAGTCAGGGCCAGTTTAGGCCAGGGCCAACTAAAAAACCATCCTGGAATGTGCAGAATGGGGAAGTGTGGGTGCATGCTCCCCTGGCTGTGTGCAGGGCTAGCCAGAGCCTGACAGGGTCAGGGCTGAAGTGGTATGCCTAACCAAAATTGCCTGTGTGCAGTCTTCTTTACCCAGAGAAGACTTAACTGCTCTTCCTGGTTTCTTCTTGCTCCCGTTTGTCCAAGGTGTAACAGCCTTGGTTACACTGGAAGTTGGGAGTTGACAGAGCCTAAAGCACAGAGCCAAGTCAGTGTGTACTGGAATCTCAATATTGTAGCCTGGCGTCTGTGCGTTTGTATCCAGAGGAGCCAGTTGGCTCTCAAAGATGCAGTATGGTCAGCTGTAAGAGCCAAAGCTTTATTCTCTGCCATATAAAAAGGATTCTGCTAAATGAACAAGACAAACTCTTTTAGCAAGCTTATTACCTTTCCACAGACTTACCTTTTCTATGTCTTTTCTTGCTATTTTTGCAATGAAAATGGGCTATGCACTTCTACCTCCTCATATCAGCACAAGCCCAGGATGACAATAATTTAAGTTCTGAACAATATAAGGGAAGCATTTGTGTTAAGCAAAACATTCTTTTTATTGGTTTAAGAGGGAAAATAATTCCCTTGTGTTTGTTTAGTGTGTTTATTGTTTTTTTTCTTGTGTCATACTAAAAATGCTGTTGTAACTGTTCAAACAAAATATTTTAAAAAGGCTTAATTTTAAATATGGAAACATTGCTTGTTGACTTAAGGGAAGCTTTATTGAGCCCTCATGATATAATTTTATTTTTAGAAGTGCATCTCTCAGTATGAATTTACAGTATTCCTGTGTGTTCTAATGAGGACTGCACAAGTTGTTGGCTTTTAGCTTGCCTCCTAAATAAAATAAAAACAAAATAAATGTATCTAAATAGGTTTATTTATTACTTACAGCATAACATAATGAAGAAAGTATTTAGGCAATAATAAGTAGCAATGCTTTTCAGCCTTTTCTGATTTGTGAAACCTTAGGAGTGTGGGTCTCTCAAGAAGCTACATATATGGAGACCATTAAAGAGCATATATGAATTTGCTTTCTCTTTTTTCCCTTTTAAGGACCTTTATGCTGTTCACACACTGTTTCTTTAGAAATGGGTCAGCAAGCTGAAAGTGACTAAACTGAAGTGCTAAACCTTTTTGGGGGTTGTTTTGGGCTTTTCTGCCATTTTTTACTCCATGAAGACCAGATATAATGTAATTTTAGCCTAATTTTTCAAGAAAAATTACCATTCTCAGATGCATAACAATCAGATTTCAAAGAATACCTTCATGGGTATTTCATTATCTTGTCCATAATTACCCTGATGCAGACATCACTCTTTCCTTGTATCTTTGGTCATCTATAACCTTTAAGTTATAGATGGGATTCTGCAAGAGCAAATTTTGATTTTTGTTGGGTTCTACAGAGGGAGGAGTGCTTGCCTGTGGCATGAAGGAAAAGGATCACATCATGGTTCCTAAATTTCTGTCACATGCTGGTTCCAATCAAACAAAAGTTAATTGCTTACTTTTTAGTATGTTATCTGTGGCATAAATTGTAATTATTTTTACTTTTGTAAAAAAATTTTCAAAGACCTTTATGCTTTCTTTTTGTTTTAATAGCATGACTTTGAAAGTTTTTCGTGTTAGAAGAACTTAAAATCTGTGCTTGTGGATTGTATGTGTACATATTTCTGGCATTGTGTAAATGCTTTCTAGCAGCAGAGAATTTGTTTTAAACTAGATTTTTATTAAAGAATATTCAGCTAATCCTCTGGCTTCAAAATTCATCATGTTAAACTGCTAAAACAGAATTTATGCTACTTGTTCAGTAAGTGGAAATAGTGATCTTTCACAGCAGATAGATATCTATGTAGCTTGTCCTTATGAGAAGCTGCTCCCTACTACTGTGGAATTCATCATCATCATCATCATCATCATCATCATCATCATCATCATCACAACAATAATAATAATAATGTGTGCATGGATGAAAATATTAACTGCTTCCACTGAAAGAACAGAAAAATGAAAGGAAGTAGTCTTCAATGTACTTTTTCTTAGGAGCTTTTGAACTGATTGGTTAATGGCCTGTGTTCTTGCTGCTTTATGTATCACTATCCATTTATTTTGTTCACTTTGGATTTTGACTCTTTACCCTATTAGAGAGTTAAGATTTTGAATGATTGTATATGATTCTCCTATGAATAATGAATGAAAAGTCCTATATTGTAAGATTAGAAATAGTTACTTCAGGTTTTTTTTCCTGCTGGTTTGGAAGCACCACAGTTACCTGTTGTATTAGAAGCAGTTGCGTACAATTCATACAAAACCTCTTGTGTTTCAGTTTATATTTGCTTGAGATGTGTGTGTGGATTTCTTCTAAGTGATGCCTTCAGATTTTACTTATGGAAATTTAGTTAATAACTGACTGCTTCTACTTTTCAAAGGTACTGCAACAGCCACCTGCAGGTACTTGGCTTTATACCGAAAAAGGAGAGGAAGAAAAAGAATGATCCCATAGAGGAGGTAAAGGTCAGGCATCAGATGGATGCTATGGCCTTCAGTCTGACAGTGCCCACCCTGGCCTTGAAGATGCCCAATGGGCTGGATGGGATGTCCCTCTCCCCTCCAGGGGCCAGGCTTCCTCTCCACTACCTGGAGGCAGAATTAGAAGACCCCTTTGCTTTCAATGAGGAGGATGATGACCTAAAGAAAGGGGCAACAGTGAAGAAAAAGTTGCAGAGCAAGTTGGCTCAAAACCGGCAGCGCCAGAGAGAGACAGAGATTTTAAAAGTTCGCCAAGAGCACTTTAGCCCCATTCCTGCACCTTTGCAGCAGCAGCCTCTGCAGCAGCAGCACTCCCATCTGCCACCTTCATCAGCTTCGTTAAAGCCGACAGGGCTACCGCAGGGCATAGTCTGCAAGTCACCTCAACCTCTGAACACCAGCCTACCAATGCAGGGAGTGGCACCCACCACACACACTATAGCACAAGCGCGGCAGTTGTCTAACAAGAGACCTCTGCCTCTCCTGCCACCCGCCAGGGCTCCTGTCACGGACCCACCAAGGACTGACCGGGTCCTCATGAAAGCCACAGCCTTCTCTCCGCACTCGTCCTGCATGAGCCGGCTCCAGAGACTGGTGAAACTGTGCACTCGAAAACAGCAGCTGGACACTGATCTGTTTCCTCACTTAGGTGAGTAGCTGATAGATGCACTGCAGCTGTATTTTTTAACTAAAGGAGAGTGTCTTCCTAGCCCTGTCCTGAATTCCTCTGTGGTCCTTAAAAAATAACTCTGAGCTAGCTGATCTCTTGGTGTTTTCTTTAGGCCTGTTGTCTATGAAGGGAATGCCTGGACCCATCACAAATGGTTTATGGCATTTTGGTTGTTTATTCTTCTTTATGTTCCATTAACTATTTGAGAAATCAAACTGAGGTGTAGAAAGCATTGTTTGGATTAGAGACCTCATGTAGAAGGTTTGCAAATCAAGTAGTAAAGATGACATTAGCAGTACCTACATGAGTGGACAAAGTTAGATTGAAACATTAGGTGTGTGATAAGTGCATGTGACATAATGAATATAAGTAAAACTTTGGCAATTTGGACCATCAATCTCTGCAGATTTGAAATTCCAGTTGACTTAATTGGAAAATTGGAACGCATGAGAATTTTTCTTGACTGGCCCTATTTATGTATAGAATATGGATGAACAAAAGGAAAAGACCACTTCAGGAGAGCAGCGTCATTACAGAAGGTAGTTGGAAAGATGAAGTCTTGTCTGCATACCATGCAGAAATAGTCTTCCCCTTACATATAATAATCAGTAGCTGCTTGTGAAAATACAAGCAAATATAACCAAATCGGTGCTATGATGGTAGTGCTCTGTAAGCTTTGAAAAGGCTACTGACCTTGTGGCTGGTTTGTCTGATGGTGAATATAGACCTAGGCACACCTGTCTTCTTTATCTTCCTCACCCTCTCAAATTACTTTTCTGCTTAATTTTAGATTGTACATTTCTAACAAGTAAAATACTCTCAGGGAAGAGGAAATATGAGTCTGTGATATAAGTAGGAACACCATTTATGATGTTTAAAATAAAGAAAGATTTCAGATAAATCTGGACATTCCCTATATAATGTTTTATTTAATTGCAAACATCTGTATTTTTTGCTATTTAAATTAACTTTTTCTTAATTTGCTGTTAAGATCTGCCCTTTGGCACTCATGGGGTAGTTTGACTATTTATTCAGAAGATAATTAGCATCGCATAGCATGTCTCCAAAGGAAATTATTCTTCAGAAAACAGCTTTGATGGTCCTATATATAGTGCAGGTCTTTAGAGGAATGGCAACTCCAGAGGTATTTCTGAGTGTTGAAGACCTCAATAGCTTAGAAAGTGACCTGTGTTTTGAAAGACTGTAGAAAAATCCCTTTCTGTGCTTAATGTTCTACATTCTCAAGTGGTGAAAAGAATATGTTTTCCTCAAAAAGAGGCATAGTAAAAATAAAAAAACCTAACTTCTACATGTACAGTTAGGCAGGTGCATAACTATGTGGATTCATTTAGAACAGTTTATATTTGGCAAAGTAAAGGAATTTACATATTAATTATGTGAGAGTGGAAAATTTATTTGTTATTTATTCATTATAAGCCTTAGTATTAAAGACTAGGTATGCCAGTTCAGAGAATTTCAGGATTTCTTTCCTATATTTGATCAGCACTAGAGATGACTGTACAGAACCTTTCAAAAGATTAATCCAGTTTTATGTGTGCCAACATCAGAGCCATGTAATTGGATATTAATGTAACCGCAGTCTTCAGTGTCAGGATAGCTGAATCTGGATTAGATTTTATTCCTTTTTTTCTGCAGTGCCCAGGAGAAGCAAAACAACTCAATTTCTGATTTTGTTTTTAAACTTTGTGTGAACAGTTTATTATGTGGTTGTCAATTGGGGACATCTTTATTGAATGATTAAGTTGTTTTTTCATTCCTTTATGGAGGAGACAACAGGAAAAGGAAACGAGTTGAAACTATAATTCTGACATTATGTATGTCTTAAAAAAGTAAAACAAAAAATAAATTTTTAAGATGCTGAAGTTCGTGAAAATTTGGGTTTCTGATACCTGTGGTTCATGTTAAAGTGCCGGTTCTATATGATGAAGAGTTACCTGATGATTTGTATTCCAAGAATATGTGTGTATGTCTCTGACTCTGAAAGTGCTTGACCAGGTACTGATGCATTTGCCAGATTCAAGGCATCTGTCTTTAGAATCATCTCAGATAAAGTTGTTTAGTTTAGTTTTAGCAAAAATGAAATCGTCCTTAACTCTATCAATTTTCAAGGAGCACACAAGAAAATGAAAAAGCAAAAAATGCTAGCTTGTAAATGCAGCAATGGTATTTTATCCCACCTGCTGCAAGGAAGTGGCAAGAATTTCACTGGATGTGGGAGAGAGAGAGTAGGAAAAACTACAAAAGATGAAGTTCCAGATAAAATGTTCCACCTGAGAACTTAGTGGCCTCTTTCTGGCTGTCCTGTTCAACATCTGTGTATAAGTTGACTAGCTGAGGCTGCTGGAGCACACCATAAGTTGATCATACTCCATTATCATTAAGTGAAAACATGCTGCTTGGTGAAAGTGCAGGAGTGTTTGTATCTCTCTCTTTAGCTCTTTCTTCATGCTAATATGTTCATTTGGCAGGCAATTACAGGGACCGAGCAGAGGAACATCCTGGGTAGCTATCTATCTCTGTCCATGCTGCTGTGTCTTAAAGTTTTCATATTCTTCTATGTTTTGGCACAGAGAAGGGGTCAGAATATAAACAGAAATGAAATTGGCCTATTTAGATCATATAGCATTAAAATTTCCCAAGTAGTCAGTTCTTCATGACAGGGACTTCTCTTTTACCTTGTACTTGGTTACAAAAACTAGTATTTCTTTGTGGGTAAGATAATTGGTTATTTTTCTTCCACTGTTTATGGATAAAGAAGCCAGTAAGGATTTTAAAGGGAAAACTCAGTTATGACAAAAATCAGTGCATACTATTTGTACACTGTAATGGAGCTGTTACTGTAGCTTTTCCTGTATAATTGAGAATACTGCATGATTTAATCAAATGTAATTGTGCTTGCAACTGTACTGTACATTAATCTTTTGTGCCAAAGGTTGCTCAGTGGCTTATGTAAGGTGAATACTCTTTTCATCCAATTTCCATGTTTTCAATTCCCTTAGGGCTGGATTGGTCTGAAGACAGTGGAGAAGAGTTGGAGGATTCAGAGCAAACCTCCCCTTACCAGGTTGCGTGGTCTATCCGAGAAAGCCTCGGCTATGAGAGACCTGAGTGAGTATGATTCTTTAGTATTCATGCTGGCCTTTGATGGAATAAATCATGTAAATGTGAGCTTCACTTCAAGTGGAGTCAGTGGAACCTAAGCACTTGTTTGAGTGTTTTGCTGAGACAAAGGATTGTTTGAACTCCTTTGTTTGTAAGAGCTATGGAACAGCTTGATGCCTTCTGTCCCAGTTTCCAACTAACTTTAGAGACCTTTGTGCAGTCTGCTATTAGAAGGATGCATCAGGAAAAGATTTAAGCTTGTTTGCCTGAATTTAATTGAGTTTAGTGGTATTTATTAATGAATTTGTGTGCCTTGATGATTTGAGGTCCTGAATTAGAATCAAATGGGGTTGCTACTGGTTTCTTGTCTTTCCTACTGGTTGTGAATAACTTTGTCAGTAAACTTGCTACATTTTATTCATTAATCCTTGTAATAATTATGCAGGCTATTGTTTTAATGTGCTTTTTTAGAGGCCATGATATTTCTTTCCACAATTAAGTGTTGAATAAACCTCTGTCAATACTCGTGAGCATTGGAAGGAAATCATAGGATCAAAATGATAAGCAGAGCAGGAATTAGCTGCAGGTGCAGAAAGGCTTATGATGTTCTCTATATAGTGGTATGTCAAAAATCTAAACTTATAGCAGGATATGACAATATAGGTCTAGCAATATAGATTTGAAGGTGCACAGTTAAAACAAAGCATCCCAGGTGTAGTATTGTAACAAAACTGTTGTATGTTATTAACAAACAAATTGGGGTCTCACTAGAATTTGATTATAGTTTCTGTAATATGACTCCCATTCACTGTGCAACTGGGCTTTTTGATACTACAACTTTCCCCCTTTTTTTTTAATTTTTAACTGTCACACTTTGAATAATGGTGTTAACAAAACCTTATTTTGTTACATTCTGAAAATTCTGAAATTTACTAGAATTTCCTGCCATTTCTGAATATTTGCCTCAAGGTGAGCAACAGAGCTGTGTCTCTGTCATCAGGACACACACCAGGATGCTAAATATTAGGGGCCTTCAGTGAATCAAAGCTATTAAGCAAATTGTAGACTTCACTTTTTTAAAATAAAGGGGTCTTTTTTTAGTGATGAATAACTGTTGTTTTTTAGGGCATCAGCAGTTTCCAAGTGAGCTTGCACAAACATTACTTCTAACTTAAAAGGCAACTTTTAAATAAAATGTTTCGGGGAAACATTTCAGACTTCTAAATCATACATAATTTTTCACAGCAGATATATCTATTAAATAACTTCCCTTACACTCTTCTCTCTTTGACATTTGATTTGATTCTTCCATAGATCCCTATTTTTTTGTCAACTTAAAAAGGTCATCATTGTGTGTTTTGTCTTCTATTTGTCTTAACTTCCTTTGGATTCTTCCTACTCTTTTCACATACTGAGAGAAAATAATACCTTATCTTGACATTTTCTGCTCCATTTTAGCATTCTGTGCACCTCAGTTAAATGCTGTCTTAACTATCCATGATGGATAAATTTTTGGATGCAACTGGCTGTTTTTGTACTTCCATCAGCCTGCTCAGTGTTAGCTCTTCAACAACCTTACTAATTTTGATTGTGGCTAAGCATTCACTTGATGTCAGCCTTCTAAAACTTTAGTTCCTGTTCTGCAAACTTCTGTAGAGATTTTTTATTACCTGAAATGTTTCACTTTAACACTTCTGCAGTGTAGTCTGCCTGCTGCTGAAGATGAATTAGTTCAGGCTATTTCTGGGGAGATTTGCTTTGTCAAAATGACTCTGTCTTGCTAATCTGATGGTACAGACTGGTGACTCCTAAAGTCAGCCAGTGACTTATTATAACTCTGGGTTCTGGGGACTTATTTTACTAGAAAACTAATAGAGATTATTTCCCAAAACTTTTAGTTTTTTGAAATCACATACTTAAACTTAGGGGATTTACTTGCTGGTTTTCATAGTAAAATTAAAAGTCTTTTCTCTGTTCATTTGTGTGTGAGCTTGTGGTCCCTACCAGCTAACTGCATTCTGTCTTTTTCCTTTTGACTACATGGAAGACAGTGGGAGGAATGCTTTTGAGAATAGACTATTGAAAGAAAGTGAAGAGTTAATTTCTGCTTTACTGGACAGCTGGTTCTCAGCATTTCTGCTTGCGTGGTTGTGGGGGAAACCTCTGTTGAACTTCTTGTGTGACACTCTAGCTGCTCTAAAACTCTCAAAATTTCACCAGATCTGTTTAAAATTAATGTCTTAACAGTGTCCTGGTTTTGGCTGGGATAGTGCTCATTTTTTTTCTTAGCAGCTGGCACAGTGCTGTGTTTTGGGTTCGGTACGATAACAACATTGATAACGCTCTGATGGTTTGGCTGTTGCTAAACAGCCAAAGTCAAGGACACTTCAGTTTCCCGTGCTCTGCCAGAGAAGGGGTGCACCAGAAGCCACGAGGGAGCACAGCTGGGACAGCTGATCCCAGCTGGACAAGGGGATACTCCATGGCCTAGAACGTCATGGCCAGGACATAAAGTGGGGGGAGCTGATCACTGCTTGAAGTGGGCCTGAATATCAGTCAGAGGGTGCTGAGCAACTGCTTAGAGAATTACTTGTTTTTCTTGGCTTTATTTTGTTTTTATTTTTTTTTCATTACAATAAATAGGAGTAGTATATTTTTCTTTGTTTCCATTAATAAGCTATTCTTAGCTCAACCCACAAGGTGTTTTTTTCTGATGCCTCACCCTATCCCACTGGTGGGATCAGGGAGAGTGAGCATGCAGGGAGAGGGAGCATGCAGGGAGAAGGAGCATGCAGGGAGAGGGAGCATGCAGCACTGTAGTACTTAGTTGCTGGATGGGGTTAAACCATGACAACAATAATACATTTTTTGGTTCACTTGCCTTCTGGCCTTTTAATCTGTAAAATTCATATTGTTGCAATCATCTGCGGAAACACAGGCCAAATGTTTGCTTTTATTATTCTGTGCTTTAATTTTGAAGAATTGTGTTGCTGTGCTCCCAGCATTTTGGGACACGGTGCTTTGAGACAGGCAAAAATGTTTGAGTTCAAATAGCGCAGGAGTTGGCACAGTGCAGGCTGGGTGCTGGCAGAGGTTGCTGGGGTGGGAGGAATCCCTTGTGGGAGCATCAATTTGGAGATAAAGCAGGGGCTGTTCCCTGCTGCAGATTACTGAAGCTTCCCCCTAGATTATTTGATTACTGAGTCTGATATCTTAGAAAGTGCTGGAAAGCAAATTATTTTATTACAAAGTATTTTTTCACTTCCTACACTGAAATATAGCTAAAGCAAACGTTTCAAGTAGCAAGTTTGAAAAAGGAGTGTGAGTCCCTCCTCATACCAACTCACTCAAAGGATTAAATATCAACACTGTCATGTCAAAAGTTTGATTTAACAATTCCCAATAAGTAGAATAACCAAAAGAAAGAAGGGAAGGGTCTTGGAAATGCTCTGTAAGGAGGGATTTAAAGTTTAGTTGCTGGGGTGTCTCAGAATAGAGAGCATGTTCTCCTCATTCCCTGGTGCCTGACTGCTCGTGCTACCCTTTTGCTCTTCCTTTCTGCTTCTTCGTGCTTTGTTTTCTTCACGAACACTCAGCAATAATCCCCCTGATGTTTCCACATGACAGTCTGAAAGGGAAGGGTTGGGAGAAAGCATTTTGGATCATCAAATGGCTCGTGTGCACTTTCAGAAATCTTTGCAAAAATGAAATGCCACATGTTAAGTTGAACTTCAGAAGTTCTATATGCAGCTTAGTAGAATAAACTAAATAGAATTTGGCAAACTTGTTTATGAAAGAACAAGAGAAATATCTTTCATTTTCATGCCTACTGAAGAAAAAAGGTTTTATTTTGATATTTTTAGGTTTCTTTGAACATATAAATGTTTTGGCTAGTCTTACTGGCCTGGGAACAAAGTTCTGAACAGACTTTTAGAAACTGGCTTTTAGAAATTTTGGCTCAAAATAATCCTTTGCCCACTGCAGGCATGATTTCTTTCTATAACTTGATGTATGTCTTCATCTATTTTTAAAAAAGATCTCATAAACTGAATATCAAAAATATTTTACCACGCAGTGACATTTTTTATGACTCTTTCAATGTGAGAGAAGTAAAAAGTCTCAAATATAGAGATATGTACATTAAAAAACACTCTTTCCACATTAAAGAAATTTCTTTCCCCTAAGGAATACTCTTGTTATTCTTACAGTTATTTTTTAACCATATTTAAAATTAAATCAGTAATTTTGTTTAAAAGTCTTGGCCCAGAGCAGTAGTGAAATACCCAAGATATTAAACCTACCAATAAATACATATTCTATCCATGTTTTCCTCTTTTAGTAATACATTGGAAAAGGAGAATCTATATTAAATAGCCCACAGTCAATTTTTTCTAAACAGGAAGTTTTCCCCAGTAAGCATTCTTTCCTTCGAGATCTTATAAGTATATTTTCTTCTAATTTCAGTGTCAAAATATTCTAAACATTAGATATGTTAGATATTTTTAACAGGTTATATTTGCTGCTAAGCATGTAATTGCAGAGGTTAATTACTTATAATTTATGCTTCTAGAAAATAAGCTGTAATCTGTTTTAACAGACAAAATACATAGTATGGTTGGCTTTACATAAAACTTCACAAAATCATGCATTTGTGTAAAAAGCAGTGTTTGCTGCTGCAGAGTTTTTGTGGAAAACCTTAATGGAGAGGTTGCAGTCTGTTCCATTTGGCCTGTGTGTAAAATAGAGTCGGTTTCCGGAAAAGAAAGCAGGTCTTCACCATATTGCGTTTCAGGGCCAGATCTGCTGCCTGTGTTTCTGGATCTTACTTTATTTAGTAAATATCATGGCTGGTATTTCACATCTCTTGTATCTCAGTGGTGGCCTCCTGTGCTGTGTGCAGGTTTGGGTGTCAGCTCATTCAGTCCCACGGGCTCTGAACATTGCCAGCTCCTGATTTACTTAATTTGTTTGGATTTCTCTCCCTTGCCCTTTCTTTGTATCTTTGCAGATAGGAAAGTTGGCAAAAAGTTTTTCTGTTCTGTAAGGAAAAAAATAGAGGAAAAACTGAACAGACTCTGCTTAGATTCAGCATGTGTATTTTGTTGCTCCATGAACAAAAAACTCATTCTGCAAACTAGTGCTTGTGGTGGAGAACTTCTGGGTAGCTTCACAGACCTTGTTATTTTAACAAGTTCCAGTGATGATTTTCTGTTTCATGACTTTTACTTTATTTAACTGAACATGTTGACATGGTTTGATGGTCTTGTTGATATGTGCCTGGATATTCAGAGAGCCAAGATAAATGGAGAAGGGCTTTCTTAAGCCAACAAAGAGCTGGGTTAGGCCTTCATCTGGTCACTGCTTAGCCCTGGTCTAATTTTTCCCTCAGTATCTTTTGTCAAATGTGAATTTCTTCTCTATTATTGTACTGTAACTCAACTGCAACTCTGCAGCAAGGGGAAATCAGTGTTAGCTATTAGCTGTGTTCGCGTGTATTTTGGTTTAAAAAGGAGTACATGGCCTGGCAGAAAAAAAGGAATTGGAGGAAATCAGCAGTTTAGGTACTTGTTAGAATTTGACCGCCTTTTCTAGCATGATCATTCCTCAATAAATTCCTACTACACAATTCCCCATCCTTGTTCTCTCCATTATTTACACTCTGATTTGAGCATTGGTCTCATTTGCTGAGACATTTACAGTAAATAAAGGTTAACAGTATAGATTTCTTTTTGAACAGCGGGCTCTAGACATTTAAGTGTGTCAGACTTGATGATAAACTGATGTAATCTCTAATAATGACATACTAAGAAGGGCAAATACCTTTAGAATTTAAATGGGGTCCTGCTTTTGCTATTTTTCAAGTAGCACTGCCTGATTTCAGTGTTTAGGTGTTTGTGTGTCTAGAAGATGGATGCCAGCTTAACAATTCTATTAGAATGACAAATTAACTTAGTGTGTGTGGGGGAAAAAGTAGTAACTTAAAGCATATTTGTTTTTGTTTTCCCTTTTTCAGGTCCGATGATGACAATGCAGATGACAGGAGTTCCAGGGTGACCAGACTTTGCACTTACTTTCAGCAGAAATACAAGCACCTCTGCCGCCTGGAGCGGGCAGAATCTCGCCAGAAGAAATGCCGGCACACGCTCCGGAAAGCCTTGCTGCAGGCGGCCAGCAGAGAGCCGGAGCGCGCGGGGCAGCTCTTGCAGGAACTCCGGAGAGCTACATGTGCTTGTTCCAGGTTAGACCTGCCCTGTAACTGCAGGAGCCTGGGCCTGGGCCAGGGTGGAGATGGGCTGAGCATCCAGCAGCTGAAATTATGAACTCTGAAACTGGTAGTCATGCACAAGGCAGAAAAAAACTGCCTGTCAGTGGAGTAAAGAAATGTGGCATGCAGAGTTTTCCATGAAGACAGGCCTTCTCCAGCTTTATGTTTTAAAATGTGGATGGCTTGTTCAGCGGTTTCTGGGCCCAAATATCTGATCCTTTACTATGTCAGTAGGTGTGCAGTTTGGTCTGTAGTTCAATTCAGATTTTGTTTCTCAGACAACTTTTTTCGAAAACTCTGTACCTCCTCTTAATTATCTTCCCAGCAAACCAAATTTAAGCTCATGCTTTTTGTTAGATTTAACTCAATCTAACATTAAATAAAACTTGGCAACAAAATACATAACTTCTAACAAGATAACTTTGAAGGTTATCTTCTCTGGGAATTCTTCCTCGATAATGTCAACATCCCTCCAGCTCTCAGCATATGGAGAGTTGGTTGATCCATATTCGTGCAGGAACAGACTAAGTCTGAACCCTGGTGTTACATTTGGAGTATCAGAAGCATCCTTTTGCTGTTGTGGTTTTGCTTTACAAGATGTGTGACTGTGGGATGCAGTGGATAGTATGAGATGCAGATTGGAGCTAGATACAGAGAGTATATTCTGTTTAATGGGATGCTTTTGTTCCTGGACAGTGGGATGTGGTTCATGACAGTTGGAGGGTTCATTATTGTGGAGGTGGACTGATTCTGAAGAGTTGCTCTGAGGTGTAATGTCCATTACTAATTTACAAAGTTGTGCATAAATTTCTTCAGACCTAAACTACAGCAAAAGACCACCTGAACTGACAAGCTCTTGCTGGTTTTTTTCCCTATTATTTTTGCCTTTGATTAAGCAAAGAAAGTTTACATGGTTTTGGGTAGACCAACAAAGCCAGGTATGCCTGTCATCACAGCTCTGATCAATTTAAGTAACCACGGAGTCTTTTCAGATACAAAATTTTTCACAGGAGTAATACTGCTAACTAAAACTTTGCTCAGTCAAAGTGCAATTGATGACAGAAATGGCTGAAGGAAAACAGTCAGGCTACAGACAGCTTTTTGTCAACCTAGAAAACAACGTGTACAGAGGTGCAAGTCAGCCCTGGAATCGCCAGCTTTATCTCCATGAAGGTGACACATGCCTGGAGAGCAGGCTAACCCCAAGCGAGCTGTGTAACGCTTGAGTACTCGTCCACACTGCTGTCTGGTCGCCTGCTTGCAGCTCAGGCTCAAAGCACAGAGGCTGTGCTGGGGAAGCGCCCAGCCCCGGGCACCTGCTGGTGGATTGGGCTGTAGCACGTTGATGAAGGAGAGCTTTTATCCATGTTGAGCACGCTCAGGCTCTGCCACTCCAGAGCTCAGTCTAAGTTTGTCTGAGCACAGGCTTGCATGTAAGCTCTGGGGATGCTCGGCATGTATTGATTTATGAACAGGCTTTGAAGTGCACTGGACTCCCATCTAGGCATACCCAGTACATTGAATTCTATAGACCAACCTCATTCTAAGGGTCACCTGTGTTGACACTCACCTACTGCTGCCCTTTCTGTTGCAAGGTGTTTACATGGTATATTTACATGGTAGTAGCACATACCACCTTTCATTACAATTAAGGCCCTGTGAAATAAGAAATAATTCTGTTACTACAGCCACACCTTCACCTGTCATTGACATCTCTTCTGTGTCCCTGTGTAGAGCCTGGTAGTAGTGTGCACCCATCTGGATCATGACGCACACACAATTGTGTGTTACAATTTTTCATCCTACTGTGCCACATTCCATATAATAATTGAGTTGAGCAACCACCTGAGACTGGGGGTTTGTCTGTAAACTCTTTTATGCTTTCTTTTCAGCACAAGCCAAGCAAGGCAGAGAGATGCAGAACCGACAACCTGCAGTGGGACTTCGAAGGGAGAGCAGTGCACTAACAAGGCCCTTCCATTCACCAGGCACTGTTTTCAGCGTATCCTCTTAACTCTGTTTGGGAGTTGCAATCAGGCGTGGAAGCTCTTCTGTTTTAGGTGCTTTTTTGTTTGTTTGCTAGATTTTTGCATGATACCTAAGTTTTCACAAAGAAATACCTATTTGTTAGTGTGTCATCAACTCCTTTGCTTTTAGTTCAGCTGTGTGATTTGGCTCTGTAGACAGCATGGATAAGTAGTCTGCTACTGTAATAGGAACATCATTTTGCTTTATGGTCTGTATTTAGGGTGTGCAGGAAACCTTTACAAAATGATCATCCTTCACTATGACTTGGTACAAACCATGTGACTTCCAACCTCTTGGCTTTCATACAGGTCTTGGTAGGTTCCAATAGGCCACCTTCCTGTGACAGTTTTATGGAAAAAGGTTTTTATACAGAGTATAAGAAGATGGCTTACACTGAAACACTAGAAAGATGGAAATCATACTTTGCATTGTTTAAAGCAGTAGAATAGAAGGAGTCACAGAACCTCATATTCCAAATGAGGAAGGGTTCCCTGTGCTTGGAATTTCAAGCAAAGCCTGGAAAGGATGTTAAAAGTCAATGGCTGAAGATCGCAGAAAGAGAGCACATTAAATATGAGTTTTGGTTCTGAAGACTATAAAAAGGCAGACTTATGACCTGTAATACTTAAAAAATCTGCAGACTTTGCCTTTTTCGTTTTTAGCTGAAGAATTGTTGGTGCTTTTCTTGGGGTGACTCCTTTTGTTGGAACTTTTGGTTTTGGTATTAAAGGGTGCTGATGTGTTCAGCTACTATCAGTCTGCAGTACCTTTCCAGTCTTTTTGTTTTGCAGATATCTTGTTTTTATTGCTTCATTTTTTGCAGGCCACTTAAAAGCAGTCTGCAGAGCAGTTCAAAACCTCTATGAGAAAGCACCATGGTGTGCAGCTGTGTTTGGGATTTGCCTCATGATTCTGATGGGATTTTTTTGTTTGGGTATTTTTTCTAATTTTAAGGAGTCTCGCTTGTTGCTGTGTGCAGAGAAGAGTAGTGATTTTGCATGTATGCCCATTTTTTCTCTCTGCATTTTCTTCTCTTAAATGAACAGGTTCTTGGTTCTGACCCATCCATCCAAGTCTGCTATCTGGATTGTTCTGCAGGTTTTTCATTTTCTTTGTCTTTTTTTTTGTTGTTGTTTTAACATTTTATAAACATATATAGTGATGTTGAGGTCTGAGAACTGTTCAGGATGGAAGGAGTGCTCCTAATGTTGTTTGAAAAAACACACAATGAAATATCTGTTTGATTTGTTGTAAGTCTGGAGACATTTTTACTCCTGCTAAGGATTTTTCTGAAGGAAATCTCGGCAAGCTTACGTGTGGATTTACTTGACCTTTCTGTCTGCTTGCACATCTTTTTTTCAGAGGAGCAGGAAGAATCTTGAAGCTTCTTTGTCTGTACTCTAAAGATAAATGCCAAGAACCTTAAAAGATTGAATTAAGAAATACTCTTTCTTTAATGTTTCAGTATGGATTGTCATTAGTCTGTAAGGAAATAGTCCTGTTGACTACACTGTTCCAACTGCTACTATTGATCTATTGATTAAGGCTCCAGGAAAAGGCTTCTTTTTGCTAAGAACTCATTAGTGAAATGGCTGCTTTTATAAAACTATCTCACTATATAATAAAATCATTAGTGATTCTGCATGAATGCAGTTTTTTCACTTTAAAAGTTGGGTTTGAGCTTTACCTAACTTTGAACTCGAATAGCAAACTTAAGGCACTCATTAAAAATAGTATCTATGGACAGATAGAATTGAAGGCTCTGATCTTTATCAGACTGATAAATCAAAGGGCGTTCCTCCACCACTGTCTTGTGTTATTCCTGACGCAGAAATGCACAGATATCTTACTGAACCGTTCTCAGCAGCTCTTCTCGAGTTGCACAGCCAAGTTTGCAGATGGTCAACAGTGCTCTGTGCCAGTTTTTGACATTACACATCAGACACCTCTGTGCGAAGAACATGCCAAAAAAATGGTAAGTACAAAGCCATCGCTGTATTTATTTGTGTATTGGGATGATCAGGAGTTTTAACCCCAGTCTTCCTATGAAGTCTTTCTTAACAGTTAGCAAGTTTATGAACTTAAGAGCTTGTTTGGTATTATTTTTCTTAAAAGGGTAAAACTTGCCAAACATTCCCAGTTAGTATAAAGTATGTTGTGAAGAGTATGTAGTGGTAAAGTAGTAGTAGTAAAGTATGTAGTTTTGAGGATATAATAAAGTATACATGGGAATATTCTTCACTGGAGAAAATTTGATTATTTTCCTAAATTGAGAAATAGAAGATTGTGAGAGATTCTGTGGTCATTTTATTTGGGTTCACTCCTGTTCCTTGGATCTGAATATAATTTGAGTGTGGTATTAAGAACACTGCATCTTAAGCAGTCTCAGTTCATGGGGCCTAAAGTACTTTCTAAAGGAAATGTAGATAGCACTTGCAAGGATGCCAGTAATGGGTTTACTACTTTATTTACCTTTTAGTAACTAAGATTTTATCTTTAACCTCCTTCAGGGATCCATCAATCCTAGAAAAAAAGCAATGGCCTACCTCAAATTTAGAGAATAGAGAAATGAAGTTGGTGTCCTCTGCTCTCCTTTTATGACATCAATCTTCCAGAACAAAACCTTTAGGTTAATTCACTAATTAAGTGGGTTAAACCCACTTCTGTCTTGCCCCTCTTTCAGGGCTTCTTGTCCTACCTTCAATTAGGTGTAAAACTGCCTTTTTTCCTTTTGTTTTGTTGGGTTATTGAAAGTTTTTTGTTGCTGTTTTTGTCCAGCCTCTCCAATAATTGTGAATTATGGAGTTTTTTGGATTAAAATGTGAGGGTTTATGCTACACAGATCTTTATGGGGTTTCCTCCTCTTCTAGGCAATCTTCAGTATGTCCCGCAAGGTTTACTTCTGTAGCAAATATAATCCTCTGCCATTCCCTGTATGATGGCAACTGAAGGCTGATGATGGTTTGATTTATTTTTTAATGTGTCAGTGATTGCTGTTCAGAAGCAATGAAGCCATAATTGTTTACCCATGTTCTTATCCTAGTCCAGCAGTATTAATTTTTTCTCCTCAGTGCTGTCCCTCTGTTACGTCAGTGGGCACTTGAGGATTCTGGCTTCAGCTGCTGCACATTATCCACATTAACACAATCTCACAACAGTGTTTCGTCTTTAATACTTACTGGACTGCTGCTAAAGGTTACAGTTCTGCACTATTTAATTAGGGTTTGCTATGATAGTTTTTAAAGTGACACTGCACAATCTCGTATTTACAATACCTCATAATTTGGTCAATGTTATTTTTGCCATTGGGGTCAATGAGGAAGGGAACAGCTCAATTTTTGAAACTGTGTCTGGGTGTAAGCTAACAGTCCCTCATGACATGGACTGTCACATATCTGTGTAATGACCAGGGTGAAAAAAGCAAGGAAAGTAATATTTGTTCTTAATATGCTCCCATTGGTATTGTTTTGCTCCTGAAGGATAATTTCTTGAGAGGGGACAGCTCCCGTAAAGTTCAGCACCAGCAGCAGAGGAAACCCAGGAAAAAAACGAAGCCACCTGCACTTACCAAAAAACACAAGAAGAAGAGAAGGCGAGGCCCACGCCGGCCCCAGAAACCCATTCCTCCTGCAGTGCCCCAAGGGAACCTCACCATGCCTGCCAGTGTCTCACTGCCAGTAGAGATACCCCACATACGGTCAGTACTCTTCCTGCCCAGTTTCCCACTGCTGGCCTGAGCCAGTGAGCACTCTACAAAGCTGCCAAACAGCATTGGAGCAGGGCTAAAAATTGCACCTCCATGTGACTGTTGGAAAAAGCCCTTAGAGTGGGTCATTTTGGAACTGAGCAATGACTGGGTTTGGTGGGTAAAATATCTTGCTCATGTTGCCTCTTACGTAATTAATGAGTAGTCTAAGTGTAAACTTCCTAAAGAAACTGCCTAAAAGCATTTTTTTCCTACATAATGGAGTAAAAAATGTGTGGGGAAGCATCCGTTGTAGATGGATATGCTCTGATAGTTGTCCTTTGGAGCAAGCAGAGTTGAACACCAGGGACTAATGTTCCTTTCTGTTCAGGAGCCCATCCACACCAGAGCTCAGTGCCGATGAGCTGCCCGATGATATCGCCAATGAAATCACAGACATTCCACATGACTTGGAATTGAATCAGGAGGACTTCTCTGATGTCCTGCCACGGCTGCCCGATGACTTGCAAGATTTTGATTTCTTTGAAGGTACCATTTTATTTTATGCTAGCATGAACACAGTCAGTGAACTGAAGAAGTGAATGTTTCTAAACTGCGTTTTGAGGAGTTGCTTGCTTTCCTACAGAGGTAATAAATTCTGGAGAAGGAAGTGTGCATTTGCTCTGTTGTTTGTGAGCTCTGAAGTGAAGCAGACTTTAAGAAGGCTGTGTGCATAGTTCTCTGCTTGCTCATATAATTACTGCTCTGAAAATCATAATTGGTTTGGTATTTTAATAATTAATTTTACATTTTTCCTGCCTGTCAGGGTTACAGTTTAATCAAGAGTGTTCTCAGTAATGGCATCTTTCTGCCATTGAGTGGGGCTGGAATCACAGTCAATGTTGGCCTTTGATAAAAAGAAGAGAGTGAGAATAAAATCTTTAAATATATTTTTGAAACTAGCTTTTGATCAGAAATATGCTTGAATTTCTGCATTCTAAAGCTCAGTACCTGTAATATATAACAAAGAAATTTGAACAGCCTGGAGTTGGGTACGTGATTTCTTTGGTCATTTTCTGATGTAACATGACATCAGACTATGTTTGAATTGAAATTAACCTAAATTATACTGTCTGTGTAAATTTTAGGTCCAGACTGCAATGTGGTAAGTAGAAAGAGGGATTGTGAACCATGTGTTACTGCAGCATTGAAGAAGATCTTACTTAAGCATTTTTAAGTCTAGGAAATCTAAGAGGCAACTCCTGTTGTAGTATGTGGAAGAGAAAGGGGAGATGGGGATTTCCATTGAAGAAGAAGGTGTAATTTCATGGTTTTCTTACTTAGCTAGTAAACACTGATGAATGATACTTTCTGTGTACTGCAAGCCATGCTAGAAGGTTATCATATGGTGCAACTCTGTACTGAACTGTCTGTACATCAGCATCCTTTGGGTGCCGGGGCCAGGCTCACCTGAGAGCAGTGCACTAACTGGTGGTGTTCCTGTGTCTGCAGGTAAAAATGGAGATCTTCTTCCAACCACAGAAGAGGCTGAAGAACTGGAACGGGCCCTACAGGCTGTAACTTCTCTTGAGTGCCTGAGTACCATTGGAGTACTTACACAGACAGATGGTGTGCCAGTTCAGGAGCTGTCAGATAGAGCGATAGGGGTGTTCTCTACAGGTGCTGGAGCTCCAGGAATGCAGTCCTTGAGTCGAGAGGTTAACACGGATCTGGGGGAGCTGTTGAATGGGCGTATAGTACACGATAATTTCTCCGGTCTGGAGCTGGATGAGAACTTGCTCCGTTCTGCTACCTTGTCCAACCCACCTACGCCCCTGGCAGGGCAGATCCAGGGGCAGTTCTCAGCCCCAGCCAACGTTGGCCTTACTTCTGCCACTCTGATAAGCCAGAGTGGCCTTGGGGAGAGAGCCTTCCCGGGACAGTTTCATGGACTTCATGATGGCAGCCATGCCTCCCAGAGGCCCCACCCTGCCCAGCTGCTGAGCAAGGCAGATGACCTGATCACCTCACGACAGCAATACAGCAGTGACCATTCACACTCCTCACCCCATGGAAGCCATTATGATAGTGAGCATGTGCCGTCTCCCTACAGTGACCATATCACATCCCCTCACACCACACCCTTTTCTGGTGATAACTTGGCAGCTACCTTCTCAGCAGAGATGCCCATGATGGCACAGCACTTGCTACCAACTCAGCTGGATGTGCCACTTAGCGGGGTGGTCAACCCCAGAACTCACTGGGGAAATCTTCCTGTCAATCTTGGGGACCCCTCTCCGTTTAGCAACCTTCTTGGTGCAGATGGACACCTCCTGTCCACCTCCCTGTCCACACCACCTACCACCTCGCACTCAGAGACCACACAGCCTGCCTTCGCCACTGTGACCCCCAACAGCTCCAGTGTGCTTCCGGGGTTACCGCAGACCAGTTTCAGTGGCATGGGTCCTGCCTCCGCTGAACTCATGGGCTCCACCTCCCCTAAACAACAGCTCCCTCAGTTCAGCGCAGCCTTTGGGCACCAGCTGAGCTCCCACAGTGGCATTCCCAAGGACCTGCAGCCCAGCCACAGCTCCATAGCTCCTCCCACGGGCTTCGCAGTGACCGGTGCCACCGCTACCAGTACCAATAACGCATCCGCACCCTTCACCACCTCCAACTGAGCTTGTCTGCCTGGCTCCCTGCAGGTAGATGGGGGACCTGTGTTTTCTATCTTTCCTTTTTTCCTTTCTCTTTATTTTGTCTGTTTTCTCTTCCCATTTTTTTTAAGAGGGGGTTGAGAAGAAAACCCCTGCTTCAGTACTGACCAGGGTTAGCCCTGTGTGAACCTTGCTGTAGCATTCACATGTGCTTGTTAGGCACTGGTGCTCATTTATTGCAGGCAGGTTCGCTGTTCCCCAATAATTCTTTAAGGATACAGCACAGTTACTGGATGTAATTGATCTTAGCAGTAAGACCTAGAAATGGGAAGATACCTCAGATCACTGATGCGTGTTACTGTTCCCTAGGGTTCGGATCAGTGCTTGCCATCCCATTAGCATCTGGTAGAAAGTTTTCCAGTGGGCAGAAGTCCCTTGATTTATTTATTTTTATTTTTGATTTACTCTTTTTCCAAAGGTAGCATCTGGCATGGAAAACTTGGCTTCACACATTGATTTGAGAGTGGTGCACTGAAGTCCTAAATCAAGATCATGATTCAAGGATGAGTTTGGCAGTTTCTTGAAATAGTCTCTTGACCTCCTCTGTGTGTGTGTGTGTGTGTGTGTGTGTGTGTGTGTTTGGGGTGCAGGGAGCAGCAATTCCTTTTCCTCTTTTAGTGAAAAAGTAGGAGTTGACCCCTTCCAGAACTGGTCACTGTTCTTACTGCATGATGATTTTTGGGTTTGTTTATCATTATTTGTAATTCATTGAGTAGGAAAGTGATCAGTTGACTGGTTGCCCATAAATTTGAAGGCTGATATTGAAATTAGCCCAGGAAAAAAAAAAAAGAAAGATAAACAGAAGGATAGAAATATAGATCATGGATTAGAGAAGATTCCTGTGAGAAATTCCCTTTCTTGCTGAATTACCGTGGCCTTGTAGCATTGATGATTTGCCTTTTCAAGTGTGTCTGTCCAGAACTCTTTGCCTGACAGTCTGACAGGAATTTCCCAGCTGAAACGGGAAGAATTAGGTTGGTTTTCTGCCCATCCACACAAGTCTAGGTCACACCCATTGTAAGTTTCAAATGGATGCATTTCTCACAATATGTCTAACTAGTGAGACTTTCTTGGACAGTTTTTAATCCCCTGAGAGCCATATAGTTTTTCCAACACTTGTAGGGTTTGATGCTCTGTTTGGGAAGCTGAATGTATGTAAGGAAGTAGCAGGTACCTGTCAGCAGTCATGGCTAACCAAAAGAGAAATCATTGAAGCAAAATAGGTAACAATTCCTTCTGTCCGCAGGATGGTTTTGTTTGTACTGATCACCTGCTAACGACAGTATTCACTCTTTGGTAGTAATTGCAGTTCCTAAAGAAAGGAGTCAGCTAGGTTTTAGGTTTTTAAAATAATTACTATTTTTTAATTTTGTTTTTTAAACCAAGAGGTAATAGCAGCAGAAATTCTGAGGTGTTTACTTGCATCTCCTTATCAAGAAGGAATTTGCTTATTACTCTATAGGGCAGTACTTATACTGTACTCTGACAGTAAAAGTAGTTCCTGTTTAATACAAGTCTCTACTCTTTGTTGTTTCAGAGATGCAGATGAGAGAAAATAGTAAATTCTACATTTCAATCTTGTAATCTAAATGATGGATTTTCTTCTACCTTACAGTAAAAAGTCCTACCTGTGTGTATTCTAGTCTATTTCAGGAAATTAAGAGAACCAAGTGCATGTACTAGGGAGGCCTAATAAACTTTCCGAGCAAAGGATCATTGAATGAAGTTTAGTTGCTATAGAAATTAATTTCATTAGCAGCAGTCAGGCACATACCAAAATATCTGACCCAAACCTCTCCTTCCATCTTCCTAAGGAACAGAGTTTAAATGGAATAGGTCTTGTGTCTTATTGTTGTAGCAATCATACTATCCCTCTTTTCTTGAATAATCTGTCCTCTTTAAATACAGAAGAGTATGGATTATGCATATGTCCTTTTCTGAAATTGCAAGTGTATGTGGGTGGAAGAAACAAAAATTATTTTCATGCTTCTGTTGTTATGAAGTCATTATTACATACTTGGTAAAATAGATCTTAGTAATATAAGCCGAATATTTCAAGTGGTGATCTAAATATGTTTGTAACACTTAAATGTTTTTAAATCACATAAAAAGTTTAATTGAAGCCTATGAAAGCCTGCTTGTGATTGTCCTGCTGATTGAGGAATGCCCAGTGATATTGTGAATGAGGCAAATCTGATAAGGCTTTTATTTATTTTTGTATTATGTTTCCCATACTTTGTTGAGGAGACAACTGTTTGATTTGCAGGTTATTTTTGTTGTGCTCGTATACCTTTTTCAATGTGCTGGGATGTCTGACTGAAAAAGAGTGGAGAACTAGTATACCAAATAGTTAATTCTTTGATTTGCTTGTGTATTCATGTAATTTTAGAGGGTGTTAATTTCTATGTATTGGTTTCAGGACCTTGGTCTTGAAATGGTTCTTGTGCCCATCAAACTTCTAATGAAGCTGCAGCTAGTGCAGAGTATATTTGCCCCACATCATATTTCTCTTTCTTAGCACATGCTGGGGGGGAAGAGAGGATGGGAACTGAGAGCCAAGTTCTGCTTGGTTGTGTTGGTATAAATTACAGAGGAGCCTTCTGGTCTAAGGTCACGGTGAGTTTTTACTGGTCTAACTCAGAACAGAACACAGCTCCTAATCTGCGCATTGATTTAGACAGGGAATTTCAAAAGCTGTCAGAGCTATGCAGGTCCATGGTTACCATTTGAAATCAATGGCCTTTATGGACATGCGTTTCTTTAAAGTAGCTTAGGACATCAAGTCTCTTCCCCCACTTAGATTTCAATTTTTGTGTATCGCTTGACAACTCTTCCCTGAAAACTGACTGCGTAACATTTTTCCATGAGCAAACTAAGTTTGCAATAAAGCTGCACTTTCAAAAATAAACTTCCGTTTGTATACAATTGAAATAGGAATCCCTCTGTCCTGTCTGCCACAGTGTTCTGAAATGGGCCACCACTCTTGCCTTTTCCTGGTTCACCTCTCATTTTTTCACTACCACCAATTTCATGGTTACATGGCTACCAAGCAGTTACGGGTCTTGATCTTAGCTTTACAAGGTGGATCATTCCAGATGGGTTTACCTGTTGACTTCAGTGCATCAGTGTCTTGCTGTTGGATGCGAGAGATCTAATTGAGAGGTAGGTGTAGTCAGAGATATTTCACACCTCTTCCTCTGGGAAATCCTGCTGGCCTGGTTAAGGTGGTCCTCAAAGCTGTTATTTTTATGGTTCTTGAGTAGAATCCATGCTCCCTCACAAATGTTTTTGAGTATCAGCTCTTATAGCAATTAGCATTCTTGTCACCCCTTCACCAAAGAGCCAGTGTAGCAATTTCAGATGCTCAATACCTGTTGTGCCCTTTATATGTTGACAAATGGAATAAGGCTAGTTGAACCTAAAAGCTGATTTCTTCACATAAGATTGGAGTTTCTGAAGAATGAAAAAAGTTAGACATAGAATAGGATATAATTTACATAATTTTGGCAATAATAGCACCTCAATTAGTCTCTGTACAAAAATACTTAACACAAGATGAATTTTGACAATGTACAGAGGCTTATCAGGAATAGCTTCGTGCTCTCCTGGTACATAAGGCATTCTTTAAGACATGCTTTGATGTTTCCTTTCACCTAGGAAGACCTTACACCAACTTTGAGGGGACCCATATGTACTTAGATACCTCAAAGTTGATTTGTTCTTTGGCTTCATCATTATAATGCATGAACTTTGTCTCCTCCTGCCTTCTAGTTTCTCCAGGTTCTTGCTTAGATCCTTTCTCGTTAGTAGCATGCTTCTCTCTATGGCTGAGCATAAAGGCTTTAAATTGATAATGCTGAGAGGTAGCACAGTTGCAGGTCTGCCTCAGGCACTGTGGAGAAAATGGCAATATCTAGATTTCCAGCTGAAAATGGGGATTTGCAGTTCTCATTTGGAAAGCACTGAAAGCCCTGAGAAGCTTATTGCCTGCTAGGCAAAAATCAGAGAAAAGAAATTGTCAAAGAGGAATTGTACCTAATAACAAAGAGAAGCCAAGGGGTTTTATTTTATTTTATTTTTTTATAAAAGGAAGATAAGTATTGAAAAAATAGGACATTCTGTTGTGAGATGCCACCGGCTTTAGGGACATGGCTAAGGCAAAAGACCTAGGACTGAACCTGAAAACCAGTAGCCAAATTCAGTTTGATGCTTTGTCTTGCTGTACCTACATCTAAATACAGTCTGGGATTGAATCTGCTTGCCAAGAGAGTCCTGCAAAGGTGTACAATAAACAGTGGGGAATTTTCTTCCCGGAGAAGCTGGCTCTGGTGGCTACCTATGCTGCTTCTGAGCTCCAGCTGTCCCCTGAGCTCCTGCAGCCTCCTTGCTGCTGTGCATCCCTGTAGGCATTGTCAGGCCTCCAAGGGTATTTCTCCCTGTCATTGTGCTGCAGTGGGCTTAATCCACTCATGAATTCTCCAACAGTACGAGCCTTTGGGCAGAGAGGAGGGAAAAAATTTGAGAAGAGCCAGCTACACGCAGTTAACCTTTCAAGATTTGCAGGGCACAGGATGGTGGCAGGAACTGCTTTCAGCCAACAAACAATAGAAAAGATACCTGCAGTGATCTTTGGCAGTGAGACATTTGTGTGGCTGTCCAGGCAGCTTCCCTAGTGGAACTGGGGTATTTTTTCTTTTGTATTTTTACATGTGAAGGAGTCTCCTGTGCAGACCTCTTGCAAGGTCCAGTGGTGGCAGAAATAGTGACTGAAGGAATAGTTTGGGGCTAGTGTGCTGGCCGGATCTTTAGGTCTTTCTCACCTTCTGATCACAAAGTCTTTCGGGTAACATTTAGTGATGGGGATTTGTGGGCTACTTCTTGTACCTCCTTTATTTCCTTCCACTCTACATTCTTCATAATTCTTGCTTCTATTTTTTTCATTCTTAGACCCTCCTCCAATGTAAGTTATGCAAGCTGGTGAGTCTTCTGTGGTTCTGAGCGAATCTGACTGTAAAATGAAAAGGAGGAGAGATTTCTGCAATTCATAACATATATTTGGATGCTAGAATGACAGTGCAATAGATCAAAGTGTTTCTCAGATCAGTGAGTAGGGAGATGTTTCACAGCATGCTAATATGTCATGAACTAGATGCTGAGGATACAACATTGATCATGGAAGTGCACATGCTAGCAGTGAATATACAGGTATTTTTGGCAAGAATTTACCTTCTCAGAAGTTCCTCTTTTGAGATGTGTATCAGTAGAAAGTCATAAATTAAAATTTAAATTACCCTTTCTTAACACGCTCAAGCCCAAATAAAAGTAAGAAGGTCTGGTGACAAAAATCTGTATTTGTGTTCACTAAACTTAAGCTTGGACTTCAAGAGAGGTCTGGACATAAGAGACCTTAGTTCTTATCAGTAAAAGTTTCAGTCTTGTCTTTAAAACACTATTGTTGGGAAGGAAAAGTTTGGGGGAGGAGAAGGACTTAGAAAAGATGCATCTTTAAACAATTTTCTTACTTGTATCTTCAGCCTCTTTTTTAAAAAAAACCCCAGACAGTAGTGACTATTTTCCCTTTGCTGTCTGGTACTTCTTATGGTTGTTGACTTCTTTGCTTTCCCCTGTTTTACTCTGCTCCTTCACGAGCTACTGTGGAATGAGGTAACGTAGTGGAAGCATGAAAGGACAAAGTGAGCATGGCTGTAAGTTGACAGCAGTAGTTGGAGAAGGCTTTCTTTATCTGTCTCCTTGAAGTAAGTGTTGGCACCTTTTCAGTCTACTCTAGGTCATAGAATTTGGTCTGGAAGTGAGTAGGGTGAAACTTAGGCTTTTGACCATGAAACTGTACTTACTTGCTGTAGAAAAATGCATTCTTCCCACTCTTCCTCTTGCTAGTCCCCCAAACACACACACAGTGAGATGGCCAGGGTTACCTGTGTGTCGACCACATAGGCATGTTGAACTTGGTCCAGTAATGCTAATGTTTAACCTGCTTTCTGTCGTTGTCAGCTGGTGCCCACGGAGATGAACTCTGGATAGGTAACGTTCCCAGATATCCTCTGGAAAACTTTAACTTTGGTGCAGATTGCTCTGATGTAGCTAACTGCGATGGCATTGGCTTCTACCTTGGAGTGGACTGATTTACCCTGAAATGACTCTCTAACCTGCGTCTTAAACAGTGTAGTTGGTTCTGGTGCAAATAGATTCATTCTGAAGTGATGGACATTTTTATTCTCATGCAAAACAGCTACATCCTACCAGAAGGGGTTGAACCAGTTTCTCTGAACAGTGATGACCTTCACTGTACAGTTTTTGGGTATGTCTCAGGGATTCCTTGTGGAAATAAGGGCAGTTAACAAAAAAACAAAAAAACAAACACAAAAACAAACAAAAAAAACAAACAAAAAAAAAAGAAAGGAAAAAAGAAAAAAAAAATGAAAAAAAGAAAAAAGTAAATAGTTTTAAAAGTAAATAATAATTTAAGGTAGAGCGTCACCTAAGTGAGAGCGCAAGAAGGAGAAATCTTTGTTCAGTTTTGTAGTCAACAGTGTCTGGCTTACGGACTCTTTCTCTTCTCGGGGCTCTCATCTCAAGTTCAACATACAGAATCTTTTTCATCACGCTCAGCTTTAAACTTTTTATTTAAAGATACCCTTCCCCAATGAGCTTTCAGAATACTTATTGTAGATTTTAAGAGAAATGGTATATTAATTTATGCTATTAACATCACCTCATAAATTATAAGTTTTATACTAAAGCTGTATTGAGTGTAATGAATTATGTTGCATATGTGTTTTTAATAGCTATAAAATTATATACAAGCTTTTTTGGAAAAACAAACTAGTGAAGCACCTTTTTACACTGGATCTTTGCCGTGTCAAGGTGTACAGCTATTCTTTGCTACCTTGCAGATATCTATATCTATATATAGATATATATATAAATAAAATAAAATGGTATCCTGTATCAACAAGTATAGAACTCTTTTTAACCCTTATATTACTGTTCCTATAACTCTTTTTAAATTTTGAGTGTTACATTCTGCAATAATTTATCCGTGGTTTGTACCTATGATTAGAAATTTAGTTACAGGGTAAATAGATCAAATTTAAAAATCCAACTACTGTAGCTGGGAGTTGTGAATCAAGTTTGTAAGACCTTTTCTTTTTTTTAATGTATTTATTTCCAGTTAGCTCTGTGAGTTGGAATTTGAAAAGTTGGAACATTAGGAATCTACAGTGTCTTATTCAGGAATTTTCCCCTCCTTTCCTCACAAAGGAATTCCCACTGTGACTTATAAATAGAATTAGACTGCTTGTGTGCATGTATGTATTATATATACACACAAAAAATATGCATTGGGGGGGATGTATGTGCGATACGAATGTGTATATTGTATGTAGGTCATAGTTCTGTAAAGAGAAAAGTAGTCAAGAGGTGATGGAATGTATTGTAGAAATGTGATTATTTAGTAGGGGGTTGTTATGTCCTCACTGTTGTATAAATAACTGAAACTCTCTACTATATAATCTTCTGTTATAAGGCTAACTCTGATATCATGTCAATTTTACTGTTTTTCAAATGAGTTCCTTTGAGCCCTGTTTAAAATGCCATGAAAATACCAAGCTCCCAAAGACAGCCTTTAAATAAAAAAAATGGGGGAGGAGGAGTGATGGAAGAAATTAGTTTTTCAGGACAAACTGAATGGGAAGGTTTGCATTCAGTGGGATGGAGAGGCGTGAGAATTGCTGTATCTTTTCAAATTAATACCCAAATCTACGGTCTGATTTGGAAAATGTTGTCAATCAGTGTACTTGTGTTTTCCAATCAGATTGTAAGGGGTACTGTCTCTTCAGTGGTCTTTATTCCATAAAAGGATCTTGTCTTCAAAGTAGATTTTTTTTCTCTTCTAAGGATTTTTGTGTACATCAATTTTGCCCCAAAATTGCAGTTGTGGGATTGCAGAACAAAATACACATTCAGTCAAGGGAGTTTCATTTAGGCTGTGAAATTCTGAATTTGATTATGACCATTTACCTTTTTTTCATAATTGGAGAAGGAAGATTTCTTTATGGGAGCTATCACTTGAAATTTTGAGAAGACAGAAATATTCTTGCAGATTGGCTTACTCTTCATACTGTTCTATTTAGTTTGGAGAAAATAATCTAATCGTTATTTACTCATACAGTATAATTTTAAGTATGATGATCCTGGTGACTTTAAAAACCTTTTTAGAAAAACAGAGCTTCTAGTATGGAACAGAAATTTGAAATTTTTTGCAATTGTTTTTAATATTCTCCTCCATATCATGATGTTGATACTCCCCCAGGCATCCCTCCCCCTCTTCTTCTCCCCAAAATTTTTTGCTGGCACATATGCATACAGACAAAAGGGTAGGGAGGTGGAAGTTGTCAGAGGCCTTTTCTTCTGCTTATTTGGTGGTAATGGGAATTAGGAGCACAGATCTTTATGCCTTTTTGGAGGAGAATAGATCCATTTTTTGTGCACACCTGTACAGAGAGATACATCTGTATGTGAGATAATGGTAGAATTTTGCCGAATGTGGAGTTGCCCTCATGATGTACAATAAATATGTATGAATGCAATCAATCTAAATCTATGTATACATTCATACAGATTGATAGATGGAATATACCTTGTATCACACTCCTATACATTAGCTATAACATGAGTGAGGGTGTGAGCTAAAGAGAGGGACTGTCCATATAACATATGTGTAACAGGTAAGCACTTGTGCCAGACAAGTTGTTTTAGATTCTTCTGAGGGGTCTGGATGACTCAGAGACTGATCTGAGCTTGGCCACCATTGTTTTGTGTTACTTCAGCCCTTGCAGTGGAGTTTCTTTGCTTTGTCTCTGCTTTTGTTTTATATTTAGTCTCGCTGAGGCCTTTTGCAAAATGCCAGCTTTTTCTGCTTCTCTGCTCCATTGCCTCTATTCCAGCTCCTCCTTGTCCCTGCATCTCTGCAGTTTCTCTTGCTAGCAGCAATCAGCTTTAATGGCCCAATCCAGCTCTGCTTATGCATGAAGGAATTCTCTTGGTGACTGAAGTGGTAGCTGAATTGGGCCCTGAGAACCTGCTTGAACTTATGCAAACTTCCCCAGCTTCAATTGTGATTCAGTAGGACTGTGATTGACTTGCAGATGAATACAAACTTTCCATGGAACGTGATGCAAAGCTTCCTAGCATATTGAAAGGTTAACCCAGCATTATATTGAAGTGGTCAAAATGAGAAAACTACACCTCCCAAATACTATCTTCTAATTTTCAACCTTAGGGAGGAAAAAGAAGTTTGATTTGTGTTTCCCATAACACAGGCACTAAGCAGAAGGCAGCCCTGTGCTCTGTTCTGAGCAAAGGGGTTGTCATTAAACATATCAAAAGAAACACAGTTTATTGCACTTCACCATAAAACATATTTTCAAATGGGGTGCAGAGTTGACCATTAACATGCTAGCACTTTGCATCTAATTGTGTATGGGTGATCTTGCTTATGCAAGTAAATTATGGGCTTAAGTGTTTTATTTTCTGTTTTCTGGCTAAATGGAGCTTCTATATCCTTTTAGCAGAAAGCAGCTGTCAGCAACCTGCTCAGTCACATTGAAGTGCTGTGTAACTTAGGCTTCAGTTTCAGAGGAGAATGCTGCTCCAGTTCTGTCACCGAGCCATACTGGATTCCATGTTTTCAATATGGCTATGGCACAATTTTTCTTGGCCACAGTTCAGCCATGGAATTTTGTCTTCTTTGCATTTCTGTTAGAAAAAGGTAACTGGTGTACTGTTCTATCTGAGCTTTCATGCAGTCATACACAACTTCTCTGATACATATGTTGGGGCGTGTGTATGGGTATGTCTGTGTACTGCGTGTGGGTAATACAGATTGATACGCACACGCCTATTATGCTATTTTGGTTTATGTATGTGGAGAACGTACCTGTTGGTTGTCTCCTGATATTTACTCATGCATACCTATATTAAATATGTATATAGAGTGTAGATGTCCTGCATATACATATGTATATGTTATGATACTTGGTTGGCAATTTTTTTTGACACTTTTTTTGCAAATTGCTGTCCCTTATTACTTATTTTCACTGAATATAGAAGAAATGGAGAAATGTGTTATCAAAGTTTTATTTTAAAAAGGAGACTTTTAATTATCTAAAGCCATTTGTAATAGTCTTTTGAATTTTTTACTAGAAGGGTTGTTATTTTAAAAAGCAAAAGAAAAAAAAAGAAAACAAAAAAACAAAAGCAAGCAGACAAGCCCTTATTCCCACCATCGTTTAGGTGAAAGAAATGGAAACACAAGTTTCTAAGTGTTTATTTCCTTCAGGTGTTTCTGAGGCATACAGTAATTGCATTCTGCCCCATCCCCCTTTTGTCCAATTATAATTAATGATTCATGATTTTCTTTTTCCCTCAATACTTTCATAAATTATTGTTCACCTCCTACATTCAATAGTACTTATATCACTAAGGAGATTTCATGTCCTTCTGTCCTTTTTAGGAGAAATGCCAGTGCATCACTATTGTGTTTCATTTTAACATACTTTGTGGAGGATGGATGTTTTAATTGAAGATGTCTGTAACCCGTCTAACTTATTTAATGTGAGAAGCCTTCATTGGAATCTATCGTCTGTTTGTTTCCAACAAGTTCAAGTTTCTGCAACTGTTTTTTTCACCAACACGTTAAATAATTCCCTTCTTATTTTATGCCTGAGGTTTTAAAATTTGGGTTTGTTTTTTGGGTTTTTTTTCCCTCCAGTTCCCAAAAATGTTTATCTACAAGTGGAGCAAAACAGATGTCAGAAGCTCAATCAATATCCTTTTTGCAGTTAAGGGTAAATATATTTATCCTAGACATAATAAAAGAAGGTGGCAAATGGACAATCTGAAGTGCTTAGAGGGAATGCTCTCTCTTTTTAAGGCTGTCTCCGAGAAGTTTGTGTTTGGTGTCATTTTAAAGGTAGCTTGATCATGCTTTGATATCAGAAACAGCCTTGTAACAAAGAGCCTCATACACAGTTGTTCGGTCACTAGAGTTTAAAATGTAAACAAGTTGCAGTGGGAAAGCAAAGGTGAGGCAGTGTATTTTGAACCAGTGAATTGTAGCTTGCAAACGTACCTGATTTTGAAGTAACTGCATGGTAGCAAGGATTAGCAGTCTCTTACACCCCTTCCTTCTTCCCTCTCATCCCTGACACTTGTGTTCAGCATACCATACATTGGGAAAAATAAACAACTTCCTCCTGCAACGCTAATCTACTTAATGACTGCTTAAAGGGAACATACAAACGGGCACTGCCACGTCCCATCTCATGGTATTAGCTGGAAGACTGGCTAATACGCACAAACAGCCCAGCCCAGCTTGCTTCTGTGGATGTGTCGCTTTGGGAGAGTGTGTGTGGTGCATGGAGGTGCCCAAGAAGAAGGGTCCCTTCCTTCAGGGTCCCTGGCAGCAATGGCAACTCACACCACTTCTAGTGCTGGAGGCTCACGGACAGCATTCCAGGGGCGGGGAGGAAAGCTTGTGTTTGTACTTTCCCTTTAAATAGGAAAGGTTGGCTCACATGTTCCTCATACTTCTCAATGAATGTACTGTATTACCATTTAAAAAAAAAAAAAAATTCAATTAAATGATAATAGATTGGTCTCCTTTTGTTATCTGGTCCTTGTTTAATTTGTTTAAGGGTTTTTGTATACAAAAGTTTACATTTTTATGTATATTTTTCTTGTGTAAAAACTGATGTAATATGTGTATAAAACACTGTATGTATTATCTGTATATAGTGTGACAAAATGATTTTCTTTCTTTCTTTTGGATGTATTAATAAATCTTGCTGTGAAGTAGCTGTGTTTACTATGATGAAACCCTCTTCTCCAAGCCATTTTGCCAAGTCCAGGATGTGTGGATATTGCCCAGGATGGAAGCTACTCCATACAGTGATTTTCTTTTTTCGCTTAGAACATATCGTAAGTACAGTTATTAAACTGTCCTTTGCTTAGATTGCTCTAGAGTCTGAGTCAGCTCTTGCTTATTCTCTGTTGCTTTCTAATGACATTAACTAATTAGTTTTGCAAACAACCCAGGGTCTTCAGTCTCAGTCCTGATTCTAATTATAGTGCTTTCTAGCTCTGGATCACTGGTCTGGAGACCAGGTCATCTTCATCCTGTTTTCTGGTTTGAGGAAGTCTAATTTAAGGGGTACAGAATAGAATTTTCTCATGTATGTTGTTATGTTTTCTGAGATTTAAAAAATATATACCTGCTTCATCAACAAAACTGGTTAAGTTGGAGTTTGGCATTATTTGATGATTAGCATGTGGATGAGAAATGATGGTGCTGTGGGGCTCTCTCTGGTCAGCTCAGGCAGGCTTGCCAGGCCGAGGCATGGGTATGACCTACATTGGTCAGACACTGGGAATCGCCACCACCTTGTTCAGACACAGCTGCTGTTTGTGGCACCCTGCTGCAGCTGGTGCCAACAAGACTGCTGTGGCTGGCACTGCCTTCCAGTGCCACGGTTGAACTCCTAGAGTGGCTTTTCCACAGTAGCCTGAAGGATGTCCTCTCTTTAGGCAGAACTACCCCTTGGACACTTCGCAATAAGCAGATGGCTGCTGCATCTCCCTCTCACCATTTGTTTTGTGAAGTCTTTCACCTCTGCTTTCTATGGTTCCAGTGGTTTCTTGTGCTTCCAGTGGTGTTTGCTTTGCTTGTCTCCATCTCCAGTGTGTTTGAGGTTGTGACTCGTGGGGGAGCAGCTGTGTCGTTGGTGAGGCCATCTCCCAGGTTCTGTTTTTCATTAGCAATCTTAATGATGACCTGGTCATCGGAATAACAGCCAGCAGAGATTGATGAGAAAGAGAGATTCAGTAATTTGACTTCTCTTTTAATGAACAGTGGCCCAGCTATTCTAGACAGCATAATTAGGGCAGCATTTCACAGTATTTGGTTGTAATTCAGGCCGAGGGGTAAGTAGTGTCAGTGACTGGTGTAGGCTTTCGTGCCAACATGTGTTGCAAAGGTTTTGTCGCAGAGATGAAACTGTGCTTTAAATCTCACCTCGTGTTCCCAGGAGATGGCAGTACACTGGAAGTGTTGCATCCAGACCTTTATCAAGACAGAGTGATGACAGAAAAGAGCAGATGCCTAAAGTCAACAAAAGAGAGTGCAGCAGTGTAAGTTCAATGCAATATGGATCAAGAAAATCCACCCCAAGCTTGTCCTTTTCAGGGAATTATCAAGGTTATTGGCCTGTGGCAATTGGACACTCTAGGGGTAAGAGAGATGAGAGAGTTCTGGGCTGTTACTGATGCAATTCTGACTGTGCATGTGGATATTATAAAGCTGATCCTTCAAAGTGCTCCACCTCAAGTAGCACTCAAAATGGCAAGAGGAGGAATTGATTCTTCTGGAGAAAATACTTACTTAAAATCTGCTTTTAAGAGAACAGCAAGAGTAAGTTGCTGTTTGGTGTAATATTTGAGGCTGTAAACAGGACTAAGAAGGTGGAAGATAAGAAAACGGGGGCTTTTCCCTGGGGATGACTCAGTTGCAGAAGCTGATGTGTCCACTCTTGTCCTGAGTGGGATATTCCCCAACATGGACTTGATGAGAGATGGATTGAGACTCCTCTACTGACTAAGGCAGAGACTGACTGACCTGTGGGGTTTTGTCCCCACTATTTTCATGAACAACACAGAAATGCTGCTCTTAGAAAATGATTACATGGCTCTCAGTCTGAAACTTTACAAAAGTGACTGGTCATTGTTCCTAGTCCCACATTTCAAAACAAAAATAGGTTTTGTTTGAAGTATCAATTCAGGAAGAATGTGGTACGTTTTTCTCTTTGTATTTTAATAGTCCTCTCAAGCTCCAACAGTAGCTTTTTAATAGCTGGCAATTATTTTCTCAGGAAAGCTCATTTAGTTTGTACTTGAAAAGCAAGTGACATTTTGTTAGAAGAGCAAGTGTTGCTCTGGTATTCGTTGAAGCAATTGGAAGGAGAAACCTTCATTAAATTTGGGAGCTGGCTTCCTGCAGAGGTGAAGAGGACCTCTCTCCCACCATAGTTACAGGCAGTTGTCCCATCTGCAGGAAATAATGGGGCCATCTTCCACAGTATCCTCTGGAGCCTATACCCCAAGCACAGGGCTGGTACTTTGAAGCTGAACTAGAGATACAGGATGCTTGTTTTAAGGGGCTGAGATGGGATTGTCACGTTTGCTGGCATGAGGTTCATCCCAGGAATGGCTAGCTTGTTTTATTATTACTGCTAATTGTGGAAAATGCCAGTGGAAAGTCTTGGTACCACTGAATCTGGGGAAAAAATTGAAGTATTGTGCTAGAAATGTCCCTGAAAGCCAAGTATCTTTGATACTCAGGTGAATTCTTGTGCTTCTGTAGGGTAACAGTGGTACAGAAGTTCTGTGTCTATATCCAATACCTCCCTTGACAGTCGTAGGACCAAGAGACTCAAGTCTTGTTCACCACCCACATCTCATTTGTGATAGCAAACATCTCCTCCATAGTGTGGAGGAGAGTCCCGCAGCATAAACTCAGCCTGGCTCTGATTGTTTCTGCTCAGCTTGTGCACCAGCTTCTGCTTCCTGCCTGTTCAAAGTGGTTACTTTTATACTGTGCAACTCTGGTGGAAAAACCCCCTTGTAATCAGCCAGCCCCGGGGTACTCCTGCAAATCTGACTTGTGGGGCCCTACTCTGGTGCCTGCCAAGCCAGTGTCAGCTGATGCAGCCCTAAATGCTGTCACATTGAACAGTGAGTCTCACAGCTCCCCTGTGTTCAGCAAGCCCACGTTTCCTGGGAGGGTGTCATGCACTTCAAACACTTCCAGCTTCCCCATTGCAACTGTGCTGGATGTAGTGATGGCCCTTTGCAGCAGAAGAGAAAGTAGTGATGGCCCTTTGCAGCAGAAGAGAAAGTGCTCTAGTGACAGGGAAGGGAGAGGGTCTTCCCAGCTGCAGACCAGTGCCATGAGTCTGTGCTGTGACCCAGGGAGGGCAAAGGCTTGTGTCAGGAGCACAGCTGGCATCTGATACAGCATCCTCCCCTGTCTGTCTAGTCTTGCGTCATCTACAGCATAACAGCATGCAGCTCATGCTAAAAAGAACTTCACAGATGAAAAAAATCCCATTTTTCCTAGGATTTTAAGTGTATTGAAACCTTTCTCAAGCTGCAGCTTTCTTGCACCAAGTCAAGCTGCAGCTTTCTTGCACCAAGGCTTTGCATGTGCTAAGAGTGGCAGCATTGGGTCCAAACTCCAGCTGAAGGGGTAGCAACATCTCTTCCTAAGCCAACTTATGCCAAAGCATCAGCAAGAACAGAGAGGCTGATTTATGTCAGATCTGGGCCAGTACTCTGCCAAGGTTTGATTTCAAGCTGTGAGTCTCAGTTATAATACTGCCTCATTGGCAGAGCTGGTCCACATTTGTGCCAGTGGAATTTGTGCAGAACCAGTCCCTGAAATTGTTCACAGAATTACCCAAAGTGACTGCTGTTGCCATTTCCACAAACACATGTGGTACATGGTTACATCTTCCCCGTATCTCTCCATGATGGTGCCAATCCCTTTCAGGGTTAGGAGAACTGCCTGAGTCCCAGGACCATTAAAGTTCCTTCAACCAGTTTTGGGCAGGTCTTAAACCTTTGCTGGATTTTATTTTCCATTTGCAAGGGGAAAATGTTCTTTGCCATCTCCCCATTATGAAGAATCCAGCTGGATGGCTAAAGAGGTTTAAGGAGTGATTCTTTAAGTGCCCAAAAGGATATGGATGGGTGAAATCCAAGACACATAGGGTTCTTCTCTGCATGTTCCTGTTGCCTGTGGCTGCAGATATTTAAACTCACTGCCTGAACCAAGGGAGAAGTATTAGCATCAGCAGAGGATACCTCCTTAAATGTGCATTCTTCTATAATTTGTGCTTTCAGCAATTTGCATACATTTGCTATGGTTGCTTTAGTAAAGAGCTTTTTTAGTCCAGTTGAGTGTTCAAGTCAGTAAAGCCACTTGACTTATTTCTGAGAGCATGTGATTACTGGGTTTTTGTTGGTTTTTGTTTTATTTTGTTTTGGTTTTCCCCCCAACTAGTTTAATGCCTTGTTTAATTCTGCAAAATTAAATTTTTCTGTTTACCAACATTTGCTCAGTGGAGCCCGGCAGCTTCCTCTGTTAATAATCTCATTTTTACTCCTGTTCTCCCTTGGGTCCTACTGTTTAATATAGCTTTTAGGTTGTTTTTTCCTCCTCTTTTTTTTTTCTCCCAATGTTTTGCTCTTTCTATACAATGTTTCTGTCTTGTCCTCTCCATCTCCTTTCCCCTCAGACTGCAACTAAAATTGTTGCTGAAGAGATTCTGGTAAGCAAAATTAGATTCCTAGAACTCTGACTTGTTCCCTGTCAAAACTTATCCTCTTCACTCATCTCTTTTATCTGCCCAGGTATGAGACCTTGCTTGGCAGAGCTATTCCTAATATCCCTAATTATGAAATTAGAATCAGGCAAGGTGTCAGTTGGCCCTTTCAAAGGTGATGGGGATGAGGATGTTGACAAATAATCTTAGAAAAATTCAGTAAAGCTTCTGTGATATTTTGCTTGTCCTGGTAAGCTGGCTGCCTGTAGCAAATTTTCTGTGATGACATGCCAAAAAGATGATGTCTTTATCAGACACCATTTCCTATTAAAAATGCTTTAGAAGCTACCAGTCCTGCTCATCCTGGTTTGCTGTGATGTTGGCTACTGTCACACAGCCCTGTGCTATGGGGAGCCAAGTGTTTCACAGAGATCAGGCTGTGCCTCTTTGAATACTCCCTGGCTTTGGGCACGCTTTGCCCACAGGCAGCACTGATGCCATCTGCCTTTGCCAGGTGACAGAGAACAAGGCTGCTGGGTGGCAGCTTAACTCTCAATTAATTGAATACTTGCGGGCACTCTTTTCCTTTATTTCCCCGCAGTAACACAGGATATTTATCCACAAGCTTTCTATCTGTCTCTTCCTGCTTCTTGCTGGATTTTATGACTGGTGCTGTTAACCAATGCCAAAATCCCCATTAGGCTGGTCTAAGCCGAGTATGAATGAGACAAACAATGCATAAATCTTCTAGTGACTCCAAATATAATCTAAACTGTACAGAAAATGATGGAGGATATAAGCAGAAAAGAGACAGTGACTCAATGTAACTCAATCTGTCCAGAATCAGTGAGTGACACAAAAAGCGTCTCTTTCTGTTTTCTTTCTGTTCGGGTGTCTGCATGCATTTTGGAAGTCCATCTCAGAGCTGCCCATTGTCCCATGCACCTCAGCATCCCTGTGACACCTGGCAGCACAGCTGGCTTCACTTATCCCCTTGTATGCTCTCTGCTCCACGTCTGCCTCCCTGCCTTTGTTCTGTCTTTGTGCTGCTCAGTGACTGTCTCTGGTGAACAAACTACAGATTTTGCTGTCTTAGATCCCACCTTATCCCAGTGGACCAAACTCTTGTTTGCAGTTCTCCAAAGCTCCAGTTTGCAGTCCATACAGCTGTGACAATTATTTTTAATTCACTTGCTGCCTTATCAGGTCCCCAGCCCACATTACTTACCCTGTCCTATATGGGTGGCCATCCTGGTGTGAGACTTCCTGTCTGGAAAACTGGTGGGTTTTAAGCATCACATCCCATCTGTTGTTACACTCTGGTCCTGTAATTGAAATGCAGCCTGTGGTGCAAAATTCTTAAAATACATCAGAACTATAAAAGAAACTCCTCTTTTTGCTTTGGTCATCTCTAATGCCATAAGAACAAATCATCTATATACTTCACAATTCAGCCTCATTTTCTTTCTGCCTCTTGTTTTTTCACGAGCTGTTTGGGACTTGATTTGCAGTGGAAGATGGTGTTCAATAGAAGGGGTGCACTAATGACAGCTAACAGCTTCAACCTCTTGCACTTGGAGTATTAAGTTTTATGGCATTTCCAGTGCTGTAAAACCAACACATGCTATTTTATTTTTCATTTTGGACATAATTTTCTATTTTTCTTCCAAGGTTTTATACTTAGATAAGCATTCTCAGAGTTCTTTGTTTACTGGGAAAATGGCTTGGCAAAGGAAAATATTACTGTGTAAGACCTGCAATGTGAAATTGCTTATTTGCTGTAATTTTAATGTGAAAGATGCCAGACTGTTAACAATCAAGAATTAAGTTTTCTCCATTTATTGTCAAACATGTAATTTGCTAATTATTTACCTAGGGATTGTTCCTTACTAATGGCCTATCTGACTGCATGGCAACCTTTTAACAACCCTACTGTCACGATCTGTGCAGGAGAGAAATGCTGTTCTTCAGGGTGGAGGTGCAGAATGAAGGCATTGGTGCTCTCCTCTGCTGTCACCCCAACAGCAAGTGGTGGAGCAGAGCCCTGGTGTCTCAGAGAACATAATCTGACATTAGCAGTGTTATCTGCAGAGGTGTGTTTGCCCCAGCTGCAGGGCAGGGCCCGGGGGACCAGTGCCTGCTGAGCTGCTCTCCAGGTGGGAGCAGCCTGCCTGTACCCACAAAAAACATGCAGTGGTGGAAGAGTGCAGAGTGCTGTAATCACAGACTTTGGTACAGCTAAGGCAGGACTGTAGGATATTCTTGTTTGAGATTCAGTGAATAAGCCTTGCTGGCAGGGGCTCTCCTGCTTAGTCCTTCCATGCCTGAACTACACCAAATGGAGATGTGTCCTCCAGACCAGACCTGTGCCAGTCTGACAGCGCTGTTTGAAGTGGTCCCAAAGAGTGTGTGGGTAGTGCTGCACATGGTGCTGGGCCCTGGAAGAAGCAAATAATGAGAAACCATGGCCATGGGCAGGGCAAAGGTGCTGCTGTTTGACACAGAGGGGGACTAGACCTGCTTGGTCCATCATCTTTAGATTTGCATTTCTGCTTTCATTTCATTGCCCAAACACTGTAAGGAGCAGCAGACCATTGTAGAAGTTTGTTTTTTTTTTTTAATATAAGTGTAGCCTGAGTTTTTAATAATCAACCCAAGGTAGTTCCTGTCCTGTGCTGGGTTTATTCCAGAGTGGCCATGACAGACCTGCCAGGTAGCACCTGGTGGTGATGACTGTGACTGTGTGTGTGACCTGTAGAGCTGGGGATGCTGACAAGCACGACAGGGCTCTCAGTTCCAATTGTTCTTTTCAAACCAAGAAATTACATCCTGCAATGTGTGGCATAGTCTGTGCAGAAGCTCACATGTGAGCAGAATCAATGCTTCCCAAGTGATGTGAGATAAGGGAGAGCATGGGGAAGTGGAATATCTTTATTACTTTTTTCAAGGGAAGATTATTTTTCACTTTTCATTTCCTCTTGCATTTCCTTTCTGTATTTGAGCTTTAACATTAAATTTGATTCTGTCTTTATAGCATTCAGGTGAGGACTTACATATTTCATCAGGATTGTCTCTCTTGTTTTCAGAACTTGAAGTCCCAAACAATATGAAGCAGTCACAGCCGTGTATGCATCTGGAGTCCTTTCATCTGCTCCAAAGAGGCACTTTCCTTTATTCCTATTCACTCTCATTACTTAATTTCCTAAAGAGGCTGCAGCTCTTCAATGCCTGAGTATGTATGTCAAAACGTCCCACTAGGCTCTTCCACTTTGTGAAACAGTATATCCCGTTTCCAGAGCTGAGGAAATACATTTCCTTCATTTGAGCTAATTACTCTTTAATAAATTGGTTTTTTTCAATTATCCTGACAACCTTGGTTTTGACAGCTCCATACTCACTGGGAAGCTCCTGCACCTCTGCAAACACCTTTTTTCCTTGAGACTTCTCTATCATCTATCATATCTTTCCTAGGAAGGACTTTTATTTGGGGCTTTTCTTATGTCTGCCACCGAAGGCTGGGTGTCAGCACACAAAACACCAATTGTGAGGTTTTAAAATACACCTGGTTTACAGGCCCCTCTCTGAAAGTTAACGTGTGGCTTTGCAGGCTTTTGGCAATCTCCACAGGTGAGCTTGTACTACCTGCCCTGTCCTTTGCTAATGTAACTTCTATGGCCAAGTTTTATTAAAAGAGTCATCACTTGCATTGTCTGAAATAGAAGCTTAAAGGAAGCATTAGCAAAGATAAACTACCAGGAGCACTGCTCAGCACTTTCTAATCTGAGAGTCACTTAACCTATCCGCAGGAAAACCCACAGATTGTCTTGCAGGGAGCTGTTTAGGAGAGCTTTCACTTATGACCAGATACAGATGAGACCAAACTCCAGTGTCTGAACACTGTTCTCCTTCCTCCTCTGCACTGTTATTGGGCATGTAGGAAGATGGGCTTCCCCTTTCCCTCATGCTCCTGAGCCTCCTCCACGTTAGCAGCTGGATGAGCGAGCACAGCCCCCACTGTGCTGGTTTGCTCAGAAACTTTTCCCCAGCACTTCGTGGTGTCCTCTGAGGGTGTCTTATGAGGCTCAGGTCCAGGGGGAGAGTGGTCCTGTGCTCAGACACTTGGTCATCTTGTGGCTAAACCAGAAATGTCCTGTGTTCCTGCACAGGCTTCTTGATGCTGTAGGCTGCTAATTGCACCTTCCTACCTCTTGGGAATATCTTGAAGAGGAAGCAAGGAAGCATGTGACTGTGAGGTGTTGCCATGCCTTGTGATGGAGGAGGCAGCAAAGACTGAAATCCAGACCAGTTCATAAGAAGAAAATACTATACCAACACGAGGGATGATATATTTATACTTAATGAAAACCCTGCATTTGAATCCTAGATCTTACGTGATCCTTCTTGGTTTCAGTTTCCATCAGCTCTAGGTGAATGACAGCACGACTCCCCCCAGCCTCCATTGGAAAGTAAGAGGCTCCTGGCTCTTTCTTTTCACCATATCTCACCAAGAATTGCATGCTTTACAGTAAAGTTTCCACTTCCTTCACCAGCCCTTTGCTGGTGACACTGGGTAAGATGCATTAATTTGCTGGGGACCTGCAGACAATGTTGATGCTACTCCTTTCCTAACCACTGCTCTGAACATGTATCTCATTTTAAGGTGTAATGAACCTCTCTAAGTTTTTCCTTGTCTCATCTTCCACTCTGAACATTTTTTGGCAGTTACCCATGACAGTCTGATGGGAAAGAAGCTTTACTAGAAGAGTGTATCACCTGCTGGTAATTTTTTCCTCTTTTGTGATGAAAAAGCTCCTGTTGGGTATTTATCACCTGGGCTCTTCTTCAGGAGAGAGAACAGACTGGTTGGCAGCAGCTTCCACACTAACAGGCTGTCAAGTAAATGGGTCTCATGGTCCTTTTAGGGACACAGGAACTGTGCCTGCCTGGCTCTACAGGTGACAACAGCTGCCCTGTCCTGCTGGGATGGCTCTTCTGCAGGTTCATCAGCTTGCCTCAGTTTGATTCTGGGTTTTGTAGCTGTTTTGTTACTGATTTTAAGGCAGCCTCAAAACTGCAGGTGTGCTCTCCTGTTGATAACTCTCTTGCCTCCAGTTAACACCAGATACCAAACTGTGGGGAAAATTAATGGCACCTGCAAATTCTGTGCACTTAAATACTGAGATGCTGCATTTGCAAGTACAATGAGGTATTTTGGTGTCTGAAGCCTCTGCCTCATGTATCTGCATATCTTAAGCATGTAAACAGCTGGAATTTGCTTGGCTTGCAGGCAGGCAGGCAGGCAGACAGGCTGGTGTGGCTGTGCACAGTGTGGTGGGGATGGCTCCTCAGCATGTCCAGTGGCACGCATGCTTGCTAAAACAGCAGCTCCTGCTCTCCCCTGTCCTCCAGTGGCTTTGGGAACACTTCTCTATGGTTCTCTTCAGCACACCTGAGTACTGCTGAGGACTCAAAATCACCTTGAACCTCACTCCAGGGTATTCTAGCCCAGTTGAGATGCTGTACCAGAGCCAGAAGGGGAGATTTAGGCCCAGGGGACTACCTGGCCCTCGCTGAGCCCAGAATACCCTTGGTCACTTATGAAGAGGACCCATGTGCCCTCAGCCAAGGGTGCAATTTTCTGGAGCCCACAAGGGCTACATTGCCTGGGCTTTGCAGAAGGGCAGTGTGTGCGTGGTGTGCAAGCAGTTAAATCAAGCAGGGATGTGCTGTGCACTCCCCTCCCTGTTGTTTCCCTCCAGCTAATCTCAAGTCATTTTGAAAGCTCATATTTTGATCTCACTGTACACAGAAAACATAACAGCTCCAAACCCTCATTCTGACAGCACACAGGAAGGCCATTGCTGTGCTCTCTGTCAGCACACATGGCTTTCTGTCATGTTCTGGGGCTCTGGTCAGCAGGCAGAGCTCTCCTACAATGCTCCCAGGCTGGCAGGAGCTCAGGCAACTCCAACACCCTCACATCCCACCCAGTGGGATGTCACACTGGGGGAATACAGATAGAGTTTGCTCCCTGGACCTATGTTCCCCTCAGAGACAGGCAGTGACAACAGGAGCTTCAGCAGCGGGCCAGGGCAAGGGTGTGTGGCTGGCCAAGGCAGCAGATTATCCCAGTCTTGCTCATGGCAGCCCTGAGATATTGCCTATGGGGCTGTTGGGGTGGGGCCCAGGAGGCCTGCTTGGGGAAATAGAAACATTGCTCTTAGGAAACAAAATTATATGTAGGCACCTCAGCTGCCAGATTGCTTTGTGGGTGAGTGGCAAGGCTCATGGTACTGACCTATCTCTTGGGCTCTCTGCTGCCCAGCCAGGGGCCAGAAGCCCCAGGGACACATGGAGTACAGCACACGGCAAATCGTTATTTTAATTCTAACCTTCAATTGCAGGAGCAGCTGCCTGTCCCCCAAGCTCCTGTGCCCTCCATCCCATAGGGGTACAGCTGAAGAAGTGCCTGCAGTTCCTCCTGCATCTGAGGCTGGCTGGCTTCTGAGCAGATCAGCCCTATGCCTGGCCAGGGGATGTCAGCTGCCTTTGCCTGCCCCCGTCTCTTCGCCTCTCAGAAAGGGCCGAGGCTGCCACCTCCTCATAGTCCAGCTGTGGGCAGTGCTGTGCAAGGCTGGCATTCACGGCTTCAGCTCGTCCCTTGCACTGGATAAGAAGGAGATGTATTTCCAAAGCTGAATTGCTGAGGAAACATCAGGTTGAGCACGCAGGTGGGACAGGCAGAGCGAGCTGCCGTGGGGGCTGTTGCTCCGCAGGACAGACGGATGATGTGAAGTCATTAGACAGGCGAGTGAGCTGTGTCAAATAGAGCAGAACTGCCTGCAAATGCAAAAAAATCAAGGTTGTCAGGGAAAGCAGGAATAGAGAAGGGATAAAGAACTCAGCATTAACCTCCTCTTGGGAAGAGTGTCAGGGCAATAATAACTTGCCAGGGCTTTGATTTCTGGTGAATGCCTACGATGTAAGTGATTTGTTCACTGCTGGTGGAAGATTTTGTTGTGGGTAAAGAGACCAGGGGAAGCAGCCCACGCTCATAGGCTCTCTCCAGATAAGGAACGTATTTGATAACTAATAAGGAACATTTGATAATGTGGCATCTCTGCCTTCTGAGTGGGGAGAGCTTGTGGACTGCTCTGCACAGGCAATTCAGTCCAGCTGGCAGTATGCAGGGTCCTTTATTACTGAATCTTATGATTATTGTAATTTTTGTTATTATGATTAGTGCTATTTGTTATTACAGACACCTGCCAAGACACACATGCCGTTTTTTCTGCCTTCTTAAATGCCGGTACCTAGAGTTTGTTCACTGTGAATCTGTGGACACATATTTGAGTAAGCCACAGCTTCTCCTGCCAGAGTGCCAATGTGGGGGCCTTTATAAGGGATTTTTCAGAATGAACTGAGCCAGTGTCTTGTGGAGTGTGTGTCTGCATCCATAAAACAGACTGCCATTTTTTTACCTGTCTTGCCCTTTCCTCCATAAGGCAATGTCCAGACCACATAAAATCAAGCTTCAATACATGGAGAAATGTGTTTCTCCATACGCTTTTATATGTCCAAGGCTTGGTGTCTCACAGGGCTGCAGGCTGTGTTCTTTTGAGTCAAGTTCTTGATACAACCTGGGAAAGTCAGAACTAACAGACTTTAAAGTGGTGATGTTTTCAGGTGCAGAAAAGCTGGCTAAGACCATTTGGTATCCTCTGTATGAACTTGTGCCCTGGAGCATCGAATGCGATTTGGGAATCAGGTGCCCAACGCTATTCCTAGAGAGGGTCAGAGCCAACCCCGCTGCAACAGGTGGGCAGCCAGGGCACAGGCAGGAAGGAACATTGCTGGCGAAGCTTTTGCAGACCCTGACTTACAATTTATTCTGTTTTTTCTGGCAGAAGAGGTGGACTCTTTTGATCCAGAAGATGTCTGGACTCGTTTGATTCGCCAGGTGGAAAGAGCCAGCCACGGTGTCGGTGTCGGAGTCGGAGTCGGCAGTGCCTGAGGTCTGTGTGCCAGCACAGCACAGCACCCTGCTGGCTCGGCCATCAGCCCTCCCTGAACCTTTCCAGGTGCAGGTGGCACCGGCTCTGAAACACAGCAGGCACCACGATGGCAGGGGAACCGCAGGAAAGCCTGGGTCATTGATGAGGCTGTTAGCGCTCTCTCAGTCCTTTCATGTACAAGTCCTTACGAGAAGACACTGGCTTAATCTCAGCTCAACTGGAAAAATGCCGATGACTGGAAATGTCATCAGCTGCCTGTGGGCCAGGCTGGCCCTGAGCTGATAAGGAGCAATGTAAAATAAAAATGTCAACGCAAAGCTGGAGAAACACAGAGGGTGGTTGCAGCTCTTCTCCATCCTGTAGGAAGCAGGGCCCCTCTGTTACCTTCTAGGAGCTGAACTTTCCCTAAAGCTTCAGTGACAAACTTTGCTCTTCCTTAGAAAAGAAAGGTGGCTGCTCCCAATGCTGCAGAGAAAAAACTGAACTCTTGCCCCATTGACTTAAATAAAGATGGTAAATAAACTTCTGTTGCTTTCTTTAATTTTTTTAGGGAAACTCTCATGATGTTCTGTGCTGCAACCTTGTTTTCTTTAAGCACTGATAAATGGTGGGGGAAGGAGACCCAGCCAGGAGAAGGGCTGATCCACCTCCCTCTCATCTGGAGTATGGGCTTCAAACACCACCTGGACACTAGGTTTGGGCAGCAGCTCCCCTTACCTCATGCCAAATGTGCTCTCAGGACTTCACAAGAACACCAAATACTGTGCCCTCTGGTCAAAAAGCAATGATAGAAGTGACTATCTAACCTCCTCTCTTTGGTGGGAGGGATGTGTAAATTCTCCACGGAGAATGGGGTGCACAGCTCAAACCTTGGGACTTCTGGAGCAGAGCAGTGTCTGAAAATGTCACCTAGGCCTTGAATCTGTCTGCATTCCTTCTCCAAGTTTACAGAGAAAATAAAATCAAAAATATCTAGGGAACAATACTTGAACAGCCAGCAGATTATAAGTAACTTACTCATAAAAGCAACCTGTGAACTTTTCCATGAGTTAGTGAAGAATCTTTGAGAGAAAGAGCCAGAGAGAAGAGACGCAAAGAGTGATTTAGAAAGCCAGCAGCTGTTATCAGTGCTGTCTTTATGTCAGTAAAGCACTGGGGTTTAGAAAGGGGGAGAAGATGCAAACATTCCTCACCCCACCGAATTCCTCGGCTAAACTCTCACCCTGGGATGTGCTTGCTCTGCCCCAGGTACAGCAGCCATCTGAGTTGATGTTATCGTACCTTGGCACGCCAGCCCCGGTGCCAGCTCTGCCCGGGAAGGCCCTACGGGATGCAGATCAGCCCGGCGTGACATTCGTGGGTGATTCTTTTTTCTGGGGCC